GGAATGCAGAGAACATCCGGGTGCTTAGGTTTAGGCGAAAGTTAGTAACCCGTGGGCGTCGGCCGGGGGAAGCAAAAAGAACTTCCACCCCGCCCAACGCAACGCCAGCGCTATGTACACAACCCCCCCTCCATCGATGCAACAATTGCTTCCAACACCTCCTCCAGACAAGATCGCGGGAACGCCCATACTAGTCCCATACTACGGCGTACATCATAATCATGTGGTTTTGGCCAGAATTATCAGACAAAACCTCGAGGGAAGCTGTCATGCGCAGGGCGGGGGCTCAGCAACCTACTCCTGGGCTTCCATAAGACCTCGGACATCGCCAAGAGGCTTCCGGCACAATCCTGACTTGAGCAGCCTGGTTGAGCTAGCGGGGCCTCCGGTCTCGCACAGCCGCTACCCCTTTTGGATCACAATAAGCTTCTTATATCATTGGCACGGAAACCCTCAATACTAATAACAAAGGCGAATGCCCTATGGGTGCCTACGCGAGAATAGACCGCCGGCATTGTCAACACAAGCGATGCAAAAGTGTCATCATCACGTAAGGTCACACGTGAAAGATCGTCAATGTCTGTGACACAATCATGACGTGACGTCATCACACAAAATCTTCGCTTGTTCAAACGCTGTCCGATAACAGAAGCAGGGCATAACCAGGCGAGATGCGCGATGCCTTCGATTACGAAGATCAGTGCAAAACCACGCATGTTAGCGCAGCAAGCTTTCGCAGTTGGGCGCGAAGGATTGATACGACGACCGAGAAGACAAAGGTGGCTTTCGCCATCTGATCGTCATAGGCAAGTGCGTGAAGGACCCTACGAGTCATTTGCCATGTGAAATTTGCAATGCCTAATTTCGCTGTACGTGCGTTTCACCTGCGGCGACTATCCCTCATGGGCAGCGCCAAAGGGGTGCAAAAGGGGCACTTGCCCCCATCGCACCTACACCAGCGGCCTCCTATCCTCTCCCCCTTGCCGAGATGCAACACGAATTTGTAGCCCCCAAGACAATATCATGCCGACGCCAGAGATCCCACCACCCCGCCATGGTGGTCTAGTGGCTAAGGTACCCGGCTGATGAACCGCAGGATCGTATCCCGGCTGCATTTCCGATGGAGGCGGAAATGTAGGCCCGTGAGCTCGGATTTGGGTGCACGTTAAAGAACCCCAGGTGGTCGAAATTTCTGGAGCCCTCCCCTACGGCGTCTCTCATAAACATATGCTAGTTTTGGGGCGTTAAACCCCACATATCAATCAATCAGAGATCCCCCCCCCCCAATCATGCCTCTAAAGGCTACGCCTATAACCTACACCATCATGACTTCACTCAGGACCGGTTACATCACTGTCTATAACGTGCATATGCATGTGGTCATTCGGCTTTTTGACAATAACGCCGGCCAAGGACTACGGATGGTGGATTACAAGAACTGTTTATTTCTTACCGTTGCCCCCGGAAAGCTATAGACTAACAGCATTCCGTTGTAACATGTTGGTCACAATTTCATTCTGATTTATGCATCCATTGCAACGCTCGATTGCCTTCGCACTCAACCATTCGGGGCACTTCAGTGAAATCCCACCCTCCCGGCCACGCTGAACGTGCAGCATTATGCGCAAGCATATGTGGTAGTCAATGCAGTTCGTGAAGAGCGCAGTGAACAAATGACGTGCAAATACTAAGCGGCATGCCTGACGAATTCTGAGACGCTGTACACTGTCAAACGCACTTCCCGCGAAGCCTCTGAAACTTGCGAAACTTTTCGTTACCAGAAATGGCCACACTCACTTGGCTTCACTTGACGATGTCATGACCGTCCTTGTCCTGTCAAGTCGAGACTCAAATCTATTATCGCCGCAGTGTAAATACAAGCCGCATGGCTCGTGAAATGCGCCCATCACCTTTATTGTTCGGAGACAGCCTGCGTTCGCGATAAGGACACTTGGGAGAAAGTGGTAACGCAGTGCCACGTGAGTCATTTACAGGCATTTCGTATCGGCAAGCGTGTAACGTGGGGAATCAACGACGCTTCCGCCACCCTCCTTTCTGCATAGAATTGTTCAGCGCATGATAAGATCAGAAGGATGCGCGTATTCGGTGAAACTGCTGCGCTGTTAACCTTATCAGTGTATGGATGCGTGAGGCATGTGAATATTAAAAGGCCCGAAAACTCGTGCTCGCTTGGTTTGTTCTCATCACAGTTGTTTCTCTCTCTTTTCTCTCTTTTTTTTTTTGTTGAATTTAGCGGGGAGGGGGGTCGCTTGTTGCGCCACCCCGCTAAATACCGCCGAACATTTTCAATAGAGTTGTCACTCACTCAATTTCTTTCTTTTTCGTTTCTTGCTCTGAAAGGTCATTCTATATGGTGATATCATGGACCCACTACCTCATCAACTGCTGCGCAAGTACATAGCTGTTCCATCTTTTATTAATTTTTAACAAAAAATTCACGGCACAGTGCCGCACCACTAGCCCTCTCTCTTCAAACAAGATAAGCTCCGAGTGCCACGTGTTTCGAGCGATTTCGCTCAAAATTCATACCGCACAATCGCCATAAAGATCACAGTCTTTCGCTGCCGTTATCTCCCACATCACTCACCCGGCGCAGCAAGTAAGAATGCAACGGGAACAAGAAAGTTACTAAGGCCACGCATTATCTCGTAGGCGATCTGCATCTAATCGCAAGTTTTGTCACCAAGGGGCGCAGTAATCACTCCCTTCTTCTAGCGGCAAAACTCGCGACTAAATACTATTGGTCAGCGCTCAGCCAGCTCGTCCAATGGTATACTTCGCCACGTCGAGCTTGCGAGCCGCCAAGCATTGAAAAACGAGAAGCGTGGGGCGGGTGCGTTGCTCGCGCGCCTGTTCGCACAGGGAAGAGTCGACCTAACAAACAACCGACCTAAATGGCACCGAAGCGCCGCCGCGGCGGAACACCTCAGCGACAAGCCAAGGTTAGCCGTGGAGACGCAGCGCGCCATGACAACCTGGCACCCGAAATGTGTCTCCCGGTGACTGCATCATGTGACGAAAGTCCAAAGAACACAACAGCGTCTTCAACAACCGACACTGCGGTCCAACTGTCGATCACCAAGGCGGGCCCATTGCAGTATCCTGCGCCTGGCGATGGCGACGACTCTTCGTGTTCCAACGGCAGCTTTTATTCAGCGACGACGCTTTCTTACTCTTCATGTTCCGACGAAGAAGTTGAGACTATGCGATGGTACGTGAATGGCGAAGAACAGTTGGACATGTTGGACGGCGCATCGAGCGACTCGAGCATCATTCAGCTCGGAGACAGCTGCTGCCAGCGGAAGCCTGCCGCACCGTTCGCTTCACTCGTCGGGTTTGCGGCAACGCACAATGAACCGGTCATTTCCACCACGGTCGAGAAAGGTGTGCCCATCTACCAGATGCCTCAGCCCAAGGCAACCGCTGAAACACCGCAGGCGTCCACGGTGGCTGACACACAAGGAGAGACGGCTGTCATCTCGCCACCCGTGCTGCAGTGAACTACAAGTACTGTAGCCGTGGTGTCCCCGTTTGCATGCCCACCTACAGGTGTCATTCATCCGTGTTCCTCTAAGGCTGCACGGGCGAATACAGCTGCGTGAAACGCGGCGCCATGAAGTGCACATCGGTCAGAAGCTTCCACTTTGATCTAACAGCACCCATCTTACCCGAACCCCCCGACGCAACAGCCAAGTTTTAATGGTTATAGAATGTTTTAATCTTTTTAGCCTTCAACTGACGATATTTTGATCACATTGCAATAAACGGTGATGCAGTAAAAAGCTTCTGAAAATATTATTGCCCTCCAAATCATGTGGTCGCATCCTCGGTGCACCGTCCGAGAATGCGGCGCCATAGAGTATGTTACTCTATGGCGGCGTTTCTTGAGTATGCAGTCGGCGACTGCTTCATACAGCTGTACATGACCACGACAAACAGAAAGAAAAAAAATCGCAGCATATCCACGGAGTGCATGATGATGAATGGGGCGAAGCGTCCGTCAGCCCGTCCGTGCTTTCTTGTACATAAATAAGACAGCTTCACCCTGGTTATTCCAAGCCTGAATAAAACGCGGAACTGGACATCCCTCTTTGTTTCTATGCGGTTTTCTCTTCCTTGCTTGCTCTCTTTGTCTTTTTTACTACTTATTTCTATACTTGTTCAATTTTTTCACTTTTGTTTACTTTTTACTTACTTAGTCATAATTTACTTACTTCCTCTTTCAAATATCATTTATATGTGGTTTCCGTTTTCGTGTTTCTCTAGTAACATCTGCACTTCTATCATCATCAAGGCGATCTAAGAACAAGCAGGCTTCTTTCTGGTGCAAGCGCGGGTTCAATATATGTGCATGCAGACGGTTGGATATATGCTATATTCAATCTGTGCCTGCGTTAATATCTTTATGAAGGCATTGCAAGAACAAGGGGAAGGATCGAGACGCATTAAAATAATCATGAAGACACTCAAAGATCAAGAGAAAACTGCACTGTAGCTATGCTCTGTGTATTTTTTCCTGCATTACGCCAAGCGTACAACATACGCAAGCCTGACACCGTAAATAAAAGAACACTATAATGATTTAAAAATGCGGCGAGGAACAAATGAGGATACAAGACTCACCAGCACACCAGAGTAAATGACCAAACAAGGCACACCAGAGCTTCCCAAGTCCGGAAATGACTGGGATTTCAATTCGGAGTCGGGTACATTCACACCGCACGCAAGTTAGGACAGCTGTCACCAGTCGAGATAAGTTTAAATCAACACGTGAAACAAAAACTAAAGACACCTTCCCTCATATTAGAGATAAACTGCTGCGGCTGCACGTGTCAGAAGTGTCGATATGTTACGTACCAGTGTTCGTGGTCTGGCTGTGTTGATGTACAGATTGCAACTTTCACCAACGGCTCTCCAATAAATCTAAGACTGCTCACTACATTACGCAAGCAAATATGTGCTATGTCGTCGCAGACAGGACCATCAATGACAAGTGGCTGCATTGAAAAGTAATCGCGGCCGATCCAAGACAAGAAAGCAGCCGTGTTTACAAGCTGCGGTTTGCGACACGTGGTGCTGTTTCGGCAAGACAACCTAGGACTGCAACAAGATATAAAAACGCATGATCATTATGACTCGCTCCAAAAAGAAAAATGACGACGTGGAAGAAAATCCAAGAGGTGTTCCAAAGTCCGGTCGGGTGTGGAAAAGCGAGAAGAAAAGGTGGGGCACACGTTCAGTGTGAAAACTCTTGCGTGAAGGTTCAGTGGAAAATACTGATAAAACAGGCGCCGCTCAAAATTTTTCTAATATGTATACCAGTATGCGCGCCTTGAATATCTATGAAAGTTTCATATATAAGGAGAAAAAAGCCTTGGTATTTTGGCGCATCAAACGTTTCGATCTTTTTCGCTAGTAGGCTGAAAGCGTTGCCGTCGTGGTGCATCGGCCTGTAATTGTTTGTTTAAGTGACATTTTATAAGTTTGTTGTTTGTTTAAGTGACATTTAAGTCGACAATTGCATTTTAATACGTAATGGTTTCATGTTACAAAATTGCTTTTTTTTTTATCCCTCATCACTTTCGCCACTATTCACCACTATTCACGGTGTTGTCGGGCTTACCATGCAGATGGTACCGGACACAAACCGAAATTCACATTAACAGAGCAGTGTTGGCACTCTTCGGCGTATTTTGTTTGACCGGCGTGAATTGCTTTCTGTCAGAGAAACGCCGTATTCTGCGGCGACCACTTTCGTCTGAGACATTCATTTCCTAGAGATGTCAGCATACCTTCAAAGTCTTCCAATTTGTTCGCGAGACTCCCGAATTTTTAGCAATCCTCTGGATCGCTTGCCCACGGGCTTCTCCTGAACAACAGAGCTAGCACCACCGTAAAAACAAAGTAATAGCGCCAGAAATCGGTTCTGATATTTTTTGATAGCATGCAATATTGTTTCTAACGATGAGTTTTTAACTCCTTATCAACACGGATTTACGAAGGGAAAATTCACTATTACTCAGCTACTGACCACTGCACATGACCTCGTAATGCGATTGACCACTCGGGACAAATCGGTGCATTCTTCATGGACTTCAGCTATGCTTTTCACAAGGTGTTGCATACGAAACTAAATCATAAGCTGAAATGAACAGAGCTTCCCTGCAGCTTAGTGAAATGGGTTGACGCATGCTTGAATAACATAAAACAGTTTGTTGTAGTAGATGATTGTAAATCTAATATGCTCCCTGTTTCTTCTGGTGTGCCTCAGGCAGTCAGTATACTTGGGCCCCTGCTTTATCTAGTTTATATGAATGATCGTATTGAACATTCATTTGATACGGTGTGTATAAACTTTTTTGCCGACAATTGACCATTTTTACGGGCGTCATTTTCGAATGCGCACCGGAAGCGCTTCAACGGCGCCACCCCGAAACATTTTTGGTGGATCGTGGCCTCCAAAACCTGTCGGTGCACCATCTCGCAGGCAACGGGTGCAAAGGAAAGCACAGGCTCCAACGCTGTCGCGTTGACCGAAAAGCCACCAAATTTGCTTTTGGCTCTCACCGCTAAGGGCGCTGTACCTGTCATGAAAAAGGTCAATTGTACTATGTATTATACAAAGTGATATAGTGTGTGAGAATGATCATCTTGTTTTGCAGGACGAACAGTCAAAGGTTGAGCAGTTTCAAATTTGGGGCACAAAAATTAATGTGCAAAAACAAGTCTTGTCAACAGTGACATGTAAATTGCTGCATATTTGTTATTGCTATACCCTTTGTAACTATAAAGAGAAAAGGCTACTCGCTATAAATATTGAGGGTTCACGCTAACTTTGAAGTTATCCTTATCAGGTCATGTTTCGAATATATGTGTATCAGCATTTGAGAGGTTGTGTTTCCTAAGGAGGGAACTGAACAAAGTTCCAACAAAGGTAATGTTACTAGCATACAATACTTATACAAGGTCTGAATTAGAGTATTATTTTATAATTTGGGATTGGGTAACAAATAATGATGTACTTAAACTTGAGGTTTTGTAAAGGGGGCTATTAGATTCATTTTTGGCAAATATAAAAGATGTGACTCTCTTATTAAACTTATGCAAAAACATGGGATTCCAATATTATAAATGCATGGCACATATGCCCATATAGTGTTCTTGTGGATCATGTGAAAAGTTGAATTTGAATTGTCGATACCTTCGTATATAAAACCCTTAGACAACAGGAAAACTGTACACAATATTAACTGCGCTCTAAAAGCAATATTGGCTATAATTCGTGCATTTCAGCATAACCTCTTCCCACAAACAATTTCCAACTGAAATGTTTTTCCTAAATTTATTTATGACAAGACTAATTTTCAAATTGCACTGGAAAAGTTATTGTTATAGTTATAAATATTTGCTGTTGCCTAGTATGTATCATATGTTTAGTTCTGAAAACCTTTTGGAATGCTAGTGGCATTATCAATTTGTGTAATACCAATTTTTTTCACTTTGTTTTTTTTTTGTTAACTTTATTTGATTTTCCAATTCAGCTTGGGCCTGTTACAGCCTGCTGTTTTGTGAAATAAATAATAAATAAATAAAATGCTTACATTAGCTTCACTCTAGTACAATAATTATGTGTAGAAAAATGCATTAAGATTGGCAAGGGGGTCCTAGCTGACTCAGGACACAGCAGATTTCGTCCTCTAATTACCACACGTGCATGCACTGTATGATTACGAGCTCCTCTGTGTTCTATGACATGTACGAACTTTACCGGTGATCATTCATTCATGACATCACCGGCGCCCTGAGGAACAGTAAATTAATATGTACAGCAGTCTTATTCTGTCGTGTTCTAACACAGCCATGCAACGTAAACAAGTTTGAGAAAGTTTTTCACGCTAGCCAAGCAATTCAAAGAATTTTGAGAAATTTTTTAACTCCTTGTCGCATGTATTATTGCCATATTGATGTGAAGTTATCTCCTAATGATTCCTAAAGGTGACCATAATGTCTTTTTTGTGAAGATTCCTGGCTCTTTTACTAGCTTGCATAGTGGTGAATATGCATAGCAAGAACAAAACAGCATGACTTCTTCGACAACTTCTTCAAATGGGAGACAAAACCAAAGGAAACGACACGGTTATGTCCCCACCTAAGATGTTGCCCTGTTTTTTTTTTATCACCATGCATAACCAACTAGCCTAAGTTAATGAAACTTTTTTGCATTGCTACTTGAAAATTCCTACAATTCTGTAAGTGTTGCCGAAGAACTGTTGAACGCTTGCAACATTGCTAAAAAGTTTTGCAAAACAATTCTGGCGGCTACGAAGGGACCTGACATTTTTTATTGGTTGATTGTCAACGATTATGCATGAGTTTGTTTCTTTTGTGTTGCAAAATGTATTAAAAAAGAATTTCAGTATTTTGATCTCAAACGCATACCATCTGGAGCTTGTTTATAGTCTCTTACTGTCTTACACAAACACTGTGACCCTGCTATGGCCATACGAAGAGCTTGAGACTGTTTAGGCAAGTCTCATGCAGGTATTACACTACCCATATTAACATTGTATCATCTGAACAGAATTTCGCAAAGAAGGTTTGTGCGATTTGGAAAAGGTGCACGAGGTAAAAATAATGGTGTGTCAAGCTTCATCCATTCACTATAGGGTACCACAGCAATGCCTGTCATCTTGTTTTGCACTTCTTGGAACTCAATCTGCAGTCTTCTGGTTACACCTGAAGCAAATGCCAGTAACAGCATTTATTTAATTAGCACAAGCATCTCTCTTTTGCTCTACCTGCTAGTGTTTATACTCGGCCAAATGCAATTTGTCTTTGTTGAACTGTTACAGGTTCTCAAGTATGGTGAAGGACAGGCCTCTCAAGACATCTTGGAAATTTAAGATGGAACAGCGTGCAGAGAGAAAAGCGTTATTGGCACTTGACCGTGAAATCAAAGAAGAAAAGAAAAGAAAAATTGAGGTAAAACAGAGTTTTTCGATAAGTAGAAACGATATGGTGTTTCCTGCATAACAAAAAGATGCTGGGGTTCTGTTTTTTGGTATAATATCTAATGGACCTGGTTTCTAGCTACCAAAAATAATACTGTGCCCATTATTCTGTCTAAGCATGGGATTATTGGATGACAGCGACCGATTTCTCACTTTATGACATTTGTGCGCAAATAAACCAAAGTATCATTGTGAAAGAACCAAAAACTATCACACATTCAGAAAATCTCTGTCAAGCCCACAGCTGATTTCTCAGAAGAAACTGATGCTCTGTTAGAACATACGAGAAAATCATAAACAAGATGGAGCACACCATTTGGTGAGACTTGAAGAAGTCCTACGGTCAGTTTTGGCCAGCAAGATATCGCTTGGTATAGTGCTATACATGACCCTACACATATGCCTTTTCTTTGATGAGGTGATGAGCAGATAATGATTAGATGATGAGTAAGATGAGTGAGATGAGTAGTTACAATTATCTTAAATTACACAGAGAAGCTCACAACAGCCTTTGGTCACAGTTTCTGTTGCTTTCAAAAAAGCAATGGTACATAATTCATTTAAGCCCGCTTCATTGTACTAAACTGATCCTTTATCACAAATTGAAAAGTAAAGGCCTTTTATACTGATTGAGAATGCGAGAATCTTCTTTAGTCATCAATGCTCAGTAAATAGAATGAAATCCTCTGATTGTATTGTGTGAAATGGTTCATTAAAAGCGGGAAGATCTGTCAGTGGGTGCATTATTACGGTGCAAATGCCATTTGCACTGCTACATGTCTGGGCATCTGCGTGACGAACACATCTCCTAGGCACCAGAAGTCGCCGATCCCTTGTGGACGCTGCTATTGATACTTCTGGTGAAAAAAAAAAACAAAAAAACGGGTGTAGCTCGCACTAATGGTGCAAGGCTAAAGCCACAGCAGAGCTGATTGTATGGTGTGACCAAGCAGGCAGAAGCAGAATTGAAACAAGGGAACAAGCCAAATGCAGATGTGCAGTAGTGCACAGCTGGTGACGGAGCCATGGTGAGGCAAGCGTAAGTAGTGCACGGGCAACAGTGCAGCGTGTTCAGGCATAGCTGCACGATGATGACGTCACGACGCATACGTTCTAGTTGGCGGCGGAGCCATGTCTGGGTCTGGCATAGTGAATGCGAAGCTGCGAGCACCTGCGCTGGCAGTTGCTAGGCAACGAAACATTATTTCACCGCTCCGCAGAGGTTCTTTGTCCGCGATGGACAGGTTACGGCTGGCTGAAACAGCTCCACTGTTTCAGGAAGCAAGATCAGCGTGGTTTTCACACTGGCGCAAACTTATGTGCACTTTCTGGCTGAACTGAATTTAGCAACTTTCACTGTTATGATTCCTGTCTTGTTCCTGGGTCATCGCCATAAACACACAATTAATGCCTGGTTATGACATTGGACACGAATCTGGGACCGTCTCCGGCTCATTGCCTCAGTTCCACAGAGACAGGAACACGGCAGAGCTTCTGTTTTTTGTTGAAGAGTCTTTGGTTTTGCAGAAATGCGCCACATGTTTCAGAGCATATGGCAGAATTCGCTGAACTGTGTTGCAAGATTTTTTAACAATATCTCAGACACCCATCTTAGTTTAGCTTGCGATATTAAAGGACAGCTTTGTAAATTTTCTTTAAAAGTTTTCTGGATGTACTCGTTTACGGGTTTTCAGAACATTTTTCTTTAGCAACAGACATTCGACTGTCTTCAAAGCATTTATAGCACAATAATGTCTTGACTTGACTCTAGGTGCTAACCCCAAAAATTTCCAGTTGCATACGATAGGTTTCTGCCACAGTTTCACCGAATTTCAAACTAAACTTATTACAAATCGTTTGCTCCTGAAGATCCGTCATATTGGCTGCAAAGATATGCACCATGTAAGTGAAAAATAGTGTCACAAAATCACGTACCAAACAATACTTTCTCTTAGCTGTGCAGATGTAAGCGCACGGATACACAAGTAACTGCTGTAAACATCTTTATTGAAAAGGCGCACCATCAAACACCGACCGCGCCTTTTCCATCGAGATGGACATTTACCAACATGCCCAGATGTCCATTTTGCTTGACAGCAGCAGTCAAAACAAGTACTATGCCCAGTTTATGCATGCTCTTCAATTCCCGTGATATTGTAAGTAGCAAAACAGATATCTGTGTGTAAAAAGTACTTTTTGCTGTATGTGCAAGTTTCAGGCATTCACATAGTTGTGGTAGTTACTCGTTTTACCGTGGGCTAAACTAATTTCAGGAGAAGAAGAGAAGACGGGAAGAAAACCTGAGGAGACGGGAAGAGAATGCCAAGAAGTCGGAAGTGGTGCAAATAGTGAGTCCTTTCATCTCTCCTCTTCTTTTATAATGAAATTAGTTTGTTCAAGCAAGATGCATCAACAACTTTTGTGCAAAAGTTGCATCTGTGCATACCTGCGTACAGCATGCGTAATGTGCATTAAAGGAGTACAGACTTTAAAATTTTGCGTGGTCATTTTCTTGCATCAAATAAAAGGCAAATGCCTCAGGAGCCTAAGAAATGTGCTGGTAAGCGCGAGTCCACTCTGAAAAATAATTACAGTACATTATTAAAAGCTAGCTTTAGTTCCTACTGAACCCCAACATCACAACACGGTATGAGCTTTTCGTCACATGCTCGCACGATTGCACAAGATGTGTGACGTTTCCATTGTGGCTCTCTCAGTGATGTGAAAGTGACTGTTTTAAATGTTTTGGTGATGCGCAAGTGGCCATTTAAGAAGTTGTGGTACCTGATGTTGTCACAACTCCCCAGACTGTGTAAGATCATTAGAATTTGTTCTGTAGCCCAAGTCAAGCTAGTGTCAATGTCGGTAGGTGTGCCATAGGAAAATTTACTAACATAACAATATTATATCTCACGCTGAGCTTCACCCTTGCTCAGAGCCGTCTCTGTATACAAGAAATTTGTATGGCAGAATGAAATTGCCTTCAAAAAATGGTGTCAGTACTCCAAAAATGGTTGCAGTGTACATTTTTCAAGATACTGAGGTACTAATTTTACCTTGCATATTATCTTTGGTACAAGTATTTAATGTAAATGTAATGTGTGACTGTAAGGTATGTGTGTTATAAACATTGCACTAAGTACTTGTTTATATGCGAAGTAATTGTGTGAATGTCATTGCGAGACATTCGGGACGTAGTGGTAAAGGCTACAGGGTCTGGCAAACCAGTATTTTAGTCCCAGTAGTCTCGTTTCAGTGGATCTATCTTGAGAAGTGGTTGATGGCCTGCACATCACACTAAGCTGGCCCTTGCCACCACCCGTGCTATTCATGTTCAAGATGAGGCTGCAGTGGTGAATAAAGAAGCCGCCTGAAACGAAGGCAGTTTAGCTTATTTACGTGGTTGCGAATTAAAAGCAGTGGCACGATAGTCGTCATATTTTATAGCCTTGGTATTCTCCTGAACGATATGCTAGGAAACTAATAACTGTATTTCCAGGCAATCCAGTGTCCTGTGGTTATGCTCGGTCACTCTTATAAATTACCAGTTTTATTAGGGTGTAGTTTTGTTGCGAATTACCCTTTGTTTATGCAGTTGGCGGCACAAGATTTCAATGAAAATTCTTTTTGTGGACCACTTCGTTTTTCGATGTTCCATGCCAAGATATAGAACGACGAAAAGCACAACATTCTCTGAAATTCCACACAAAAGGAACGCGCAGCGCACGCTAATGCGTGTGCATCAAGGTTTTGCGGCAAAGCGTGCATGTGGGAGCATGAAGTGCTTGGTTTTCGCATCAGCATAACATGATCATGATAGACATTGTCCCCCCTACTTCTGCTGCCACTAACTTATGTTAACACTGCATCAGAATAGTGAGCCCTTCTTGCATAAAATTTTGTGGTTATTGTTATATATATTTTTGGCAATTGGCATAAAGAAAAAAGGATCGGCCTTCCTTTTTTTCATCCTTTCTGAATCTTTTGGCGCAAACTGAATTATAACCTGATAATTTATAACAAAACTACAGCCCACTGAACTGAGTCAGTTCTTTTAGAAACGCCCTACAGCAGTGCTTATCCATGTCAGCAGCAGGGTGCAAAGGGGCACTTGTTCCCTCAATCCCCAGTCACTGCCACGAGTTCGCAACCCCAAGGGGATTTTGTCTCGGGGGTGCGGACCTGTGTTCGCACCCCCAAGACAAAAACTCGCTGGCACCCGTGGTAGTATTCAGTTTCCCAGGTGAGAAGTCTACACAAAGCTTCTGCACTACCAATGTCTTGGAAAACTTTCTGTTGCCGCATTCTCACGGGATGAAGGTCGACATTCTGGGTACCATTTTTTTTTTTTTTTCAGTGTTCTTTCTCGTGGAAGCAATCATAAATCTAACTGACAGCTTGCTGAACTCCATCCTACTGACTTAAATAAATGAAGGTATTGTCAGAATTGTTAGAAAAATGCTCAACTTTCAGCTTCAAAGCCACACTGAGCACCAGGAAATGCCTTCAGTCTCTCTAAATGTTCAATGATGCTGGCTACTCCTCATTGGTTAATGTGCCAGGAGTAGCAAGGTGCATTCAGCTTGAGGCATGTGTAGTCTGGCATAGTGCAGAGTATGGTTTGGTCGTGACAAATCATGCTGAGAAGACCATATCAGTTTTGATCATTTTCGGACCTGTGTATTGCTGCCACTGCCATCGGAGCCACTCGCGACAGCCAGTCAAAATGCAAGGCGGCAGTAGCACCGCCCTCACAGCAACCTGCAAATGGAAGATCTTGCTGCTTGATGTAAATCCACGTGTTTGCCAGAATGCCCAGGACTATAATTTCTTTTCTCAGTTCCCATCATAACGACTACAAAATTGTTACAAATTTGCATGATAAAAGCGTGCAGACTAGAAACCAGAGGAAAAAGCAGCACAGTATTATTCAAGTGATGCAACAGTACAAGCGGTTGGCATTTCAGCAAAGTGCGATTTCCAGTCACTGTGCACACCGAATGCCCCTGCGTGAATGAGCCTTTAGAAACATTGCAAATACTACATGGCTCCGACATATTTGCACATTCAATTCCAATGCTTGCTGAAGCAAGTGCATGTTGCGATGTGCCAGTATTTTATGATTATGCTAGTGAACGTTGCAGAAATAACATCTTATGCGCATCGTTCCACCTGGGAAACAAAGAAACACAAGATTTATGCACTTTGTGCTTACCCAGAAAGGCCTTGCAGTTTTTACTTGGTGAATGCGTGCATAATGCATAATCCTTGCTTTGTTTTGTGTTTAGGTTAACTACAAGTGACCATGTTAACAGCAGCCTTCTCTCTTCTTGCAATGCCACAGATCAAGAACACCGCCAAAATCAAGCGGATGTCCAAAAAGCAGCTGCGACTTATCAAGAAGGCTGACACAACCGTCGTTTCTAAGAAACCATCCTAGAATGCTGGCCAATGAAGGTGTAATGTATAAAATAAGTCTAAAGATTAAATTATGTTCACTGATCTATTTGTTTCCTGCTTTTCTTCACATTATTTTAGTTGGATACTGTGTATCTTCCTTTGGAAAATACACTCAAGGCTCATTATAACAAAGTTGCATCTTGCATGAAAACAGTTCGTTATATCCGAACATTTTGTTGTAAAGGTCTATTGCTATCTTTCGCAAGACATTCATTTACTTTGTTGTTACCAATATTTTGTTATATCCAGGTTTGTTATGTCAAGGTTGTACTTAAAATATAAACATGGAGAAACACATGCACTCGGCTGTACGTCCTTTACCTCATTATAACTAAGTTGCATCTTACATGAAATTAAGTTTGTTATATCCGAAAATTTGTTATAAAGGTTTATTTCTAACACTATATCTCTTGCAAGACTATCTTTCATTTTACTTCATTATAACCGATATTTCGTTATATCCTAATTTGTTATACTGATGTTTGACATGGTTTGTTTTTTACTATTCCCCGTTATATGGAAAGACTCATCAGTTCCCTTATGCATTCGTGTAAGATGACTTGGAGGCAAAAACCATCTTCCATGTTTTGCTCAGTCAGTGCATTAATTCTGCCCCACCACCTTCCAAAACCTTTCTACACTTAATGTGATTTGGAAATGCCTCTAAGATTCGTTGCACCAGTGTCTTCGATAGGCCCACATTCAACCAAACTATGAAGTTGCAATGACGTCGGCATACAACATTACATCACTTGATGTCGCTGGGACGTCATGATGACACCACAAATTTTTATGATCTGGGGTGTCATGATTGAGTCACATGGCAATGTCATAGTGTTACGATCCTTTTCATCACCCATGTTGTCTCTGACACAGCGGTCAATTTTCCCATTTGATGAAGCTTAAAAGACTTTCTCTTTCAAACAAGTCTCGCTCAACAAACCGGCCTTCTGAAGCATACCTTCTGTTGAGCATCACATTCATGATTGTGGTCTCGTTCAATGCTCTCAAACTTTTAGAACTCTCAAAAGCCAAGCAACACCTGCTTCTGGGGACCTTTACTACTACTATTGCCTTTTGCCCAGTGTCAATGTCACCTTATGTGGCAAGAGCATGTGAAGTCTCAATCAAAGAACCATGCACTCTCAAGTACTCTGCATTGCTTTCAGTAACGAGGAACTGTCAGTTACTGCCATGTATCTGTTTTCCCACTGTATAGTAGTGTGCCGTGATTTGTAGTGCAGTGGTGCACAAATTATCCCAGTCTCATACAGTGCCGCATGCAATCACCTCCAAAAAATAAGCACAATGCAAAATGAAACGTGAGATTTTCCAAGCTTTTTATTCAACACGCCGCGTCAAACAAAAAGCAGTGACATGATCACTTTATCAGACGAGACAGGTGAGTATCGCGTGCCTTCTTTTTGCAGTAAAGTTGTGTGCACAGATGTAGTACTAAAAGAAATAAAATTCAGTTGGCTCTTAAGCACTAGAGTTTGCTTGTACCTCGACCATTTCGAAACTACCTGAAATAGATCACACAGGCCAGAACACACAGTACAGGTCTTATAGCATCACAAACTGCCCGCGTGTGTAAATGCACAACGTTTTATTGGCATGTTGCCCCAATGACGGTACTTGAAAAACAAATGTGTTAACGTTCATCAATTATCTGGCTTCGAGTCAAATGCAATGAGGAGGAAATTATCACAACTTGCACATAATGTAACCGAAGCAAGTCCCGACTATGAACCTCGCTATTTAATATGGTAAATTTATCACAGTAAAATTTCATCAGTCGTGGCAGCTAAGCTTTCAAATGTGCAGTTGAGCTTAAAGATGTAGCTTGGATTCTCAACTGTGGTAGCTACAATTCAAGAGCTGTGTGCCACAGCTCATAATTACAGAATGCTTTTGGCAATAGCAACCCCGGAATTGTAGTTAGCCAGTGAAATTTCTAAAATGAGCATTCCGAAATTGTTCTATGTATCTCTCAATACTTCACATTTTGTAGCAAAAACACACTTTGTTTAACAACCATTGTAAACGAGTTCAGCAGGTAAAACTGAACGATGTAGAATAGCATAAAATTTCACTGTGTTTGTCTAAGGGCATAACGTAACCTCAGAGATGAGATGGCAAACAGGTGCTGCCCACTAGTGCTGATTGCTGGCCATCTTTAGAATTCGCACAGTAGTTTAACAAGCTACCGTCTTTATTCCTCCAATGTACTTATCAAATGCATACTTCCACTCTTCAGAGCATGTCACACTATTCAGCACATAAACAGAAGTGATGCTACTGCAAAGCTGGAAAGCTTTGCTGAATGCCTGACCATAGTAACAGTGAACTTTATTTGGCATGCAGTAGCTCTGGCTATTCCCGCTAAATCTGCAAGCACACACAAACAAGATTGTAATTTGGAGCACATTAAGCACAAGAAAAAAATGCAATACATGCAAAGAATAAACTAAGTGTTTATTTGAGTGCAATAATGGCTGGCGCATGGTTTGAAATAGGCTTTGAGGCATACAACAGTTCAAATACAATTCTGCCTATCACTCGGGCTTGGCATGTGTTACTGAAGTGACACTAGTATATGCTAGTCAATAAACAATGTAATTTAGTGACAAAGTATGTCACCACACTCTCCAACACAATGTGACAAAGCCAGCACAAACCAATAATTTGCACAAGCATTATTCTATGCATATGCTGTGTGTTAAATATCAGAGCTATGTATTTTTTTTTAAGTCTCAAGAGCAGCATTGCATGCGACAGCAAGCCAAATATGTAGTATTTTACACTCAAGCAATGCGTTAGCATGAAACAATGTGCAGCTTCAGCTACGGTATTTCTATAGCAGACAATCATCATAAGCAGCAATGTGTGGGCAAAATGACACTCTTTGGTGACAAAACATTAGTGTCAGAACTCGCGAAACTGAATACTAGTGTGAGCTCTCCACAACGCCTTTTTCAGTGTACGTGTAATTACGAACATTTAGCCATATACAATTTCAGCGGAAAGCATATATGGAAGTGCTTTGCGTGGTATGATGCAGCTGCAGTCACCACAAAATGATAGCTATATGTCATTTTGTGCGTAAGTACCGTGCAACGTAAAATCCTAGTAACATAACTTACAGTTAGCAAATGTACAATGTGCACATGATCACCAAATGTCTCGATTCCACAATACGGCATACGAACACTTTAATATTCGACATTCATTAGTCACCTCACCCTCTAGCACAAATCGAAGTATGTTGTATTCACCATTTTTTTTTCTTAGTTTCAGGTGAGCCTAGACAACCTTTGCATAAAACTTTAAAGAACCTTTTGCCGAGTGAAAAACCTTCCCTCTGTAGTCAGATAACAGCTGAAAAAATAGAAATGGTAGCAAAAAAGCTTTTGGAAAAACGTAACAGAACTTCATTTTGGAAGTGACCGCGGGTCCAAAGTGCATTTGTCAGAGGTAGTTAGCTGGCTTTCCAACATTTCCAATACGATTCCATAGTTAAAGAGACACTAAAGTCAAATAACAATTTACGTGAAAGTGAAAGCTTAATGTGTGACATATAAAACGACAATAGTATCAACAGCAGTGCCCTACTTATCGAGAAATTAAGGTGAATGCACGAGAACACATGCGCCGCAGTAGAACAATCGCAAAATGATCGTGATAACGTCACAGTTACAGCCTACAATTAATCACTTATAATCGAACTAGCACCACTAAATGGAGAACCTTTCATGCATCAAGAGGCATAATAAAATGCTTTTTCATTTCTGTTTGATACATAGAAAAAAGAACCACCGGATGCTATTGTGGGGCATGGCGCGAGTGGTTCGAAAGTTCATTTTTCGTCAGGTTAAACTAGACAACCCGTGCCATCTAACGGGGCCCAGTTGAACCAACACACGTCTGCCATCTTGGAGCCAATGACTAAAAAATAAATGGCGGTTTTTTGATGCTGTGGCTGCCGCTTCTTTCGTTCTGCTGCTACTAGTGTTGGCAGCCACGCAGCAAAGCTGAGCAACGTTGTTCACGGCAACAGTGACGTGACACGTTTCGCTTGAGGCGGGCAATTTAAAATGTGCTAACATGATGCAAACCACTAAAACGTGCTTTTGTTCAAAATAAGCATTTTTTTGGCACAAAAGTAGCACTACAAGGTTTCTGGACTGCTATTTCAGCAATCAACGTCAACTTAATGGTTGCATTTGGTGTCCCTTTAAAAGTGGCTGGTAAGAAGTACTCCGGTATAAAGTATGTCCTAGAAAAAAAATTTACAAACATTATTTGTTTGCTTGTACCTCCATTTTGAACTAAACCATACTATTTGTCTTCTTCCAACTATAAGTCACGTTAAAGTAAAATTGACAATTGCTGCGTTTTCCCATGCCCAACTAACCCCTGCATATAGGCAATGCACGTAATTATTACGCCTGTTGAGACAAAACTGCTCCTAAGTTTCATGTACAAAAGTCCAAAGCAATGCTAAAATTAAATTTAGGAAATCCTACGCCTGTGTGGCCATGCCACACAGCTTTTAGTGCTATTTCCCACTGGAGTCACTTGGATACAAGAGGTGTCTTCAAGTAACTTTTTAAATGTTTTGTGAATAACACTTTGTGAGGCCAAGTCAAATGTGATAATTTAGAATTGCCAGAAATTACTTGTATATTACGCACATATCTACTGGCTTTAAAGTAATAAACAGCCATTTCAACTATTGCTAAATTCCATGTTGTTTGCATCTAGTGTATTCACAATGTTGGAAAGCTTCTGTAATTAAAATCACATTTAACTTAACTGCTTACAAAAACCATGAGCTTAGCTCTCAGACAGAATACGTGCCATGTTTTATCACATTCTAGTAGCTTCTCTAATATTACGAATGACATCTGTTAGGCTGTAAAAATCAGGCTTACTAAATAGTGTATCAAAAGCAGATTTGCAGCATAATTTCTTTAATGTTATGTATTTTGGCAAAGAAGATAAAATTTCTCACAATTTCACTCCAATTTTTTTTATCCGCCATGTAAAGTTGACAATTCAAAATATTGAAAAGCTATTTTGAATAATATTCATATTTTGAAATCGAGGCTATTCCATTCAAGGACTGAATAGAATTTTATAATTGAAATGCACATGCACTCCGATTAAATTTCTTAAGTGCACTTTTAGTGCAACAAGCTGTTAAACATAATGGGGCTCACATGAAATGAAAGCTTCACAGAAACTGCATTCCCACTTTACACTTCAAAATTAAGATAATGAACTCAAAGTTGCCCGCTATCGTGAATAACGCTAGGCAACAGGGTATCCAACAACAACAAAACTGGCAATCTCACGGCACGTACAATTCAACGTACATTGGCAAGTTCACTTCAAAACTCAAACAGTGCACTGACGAAATACTTTAATAAAATGCCAAATAAATATAAGAGGCATAATTAAGAAAACATTCACAATTAAAAAATACAGCACGGATTTAGCTGGTTACTATGAGGTTAGGAGTCGTCCATGTGACTACTTAAATAGCTTTATGATATACACTATTTCACTCGCTTTTTGGTACCACAGTAGTGCTCTGAATAAGAGTTATGTCACATACATTTCCAGATAAAACTTATCCCAAAAGTAAGGATTCAAAGTGGCACCAAGTCCAACTTACTGCCATCCTGATTTCATGAACATAACAGCAAAGGATTCAACACTGGTCATTTTTTTCTTTCGGGGGGGGGGGGGGGGGGGGGCAGAAATGGGGAAATGGGTCAGTAGAATTGCTTTTACAACTCTACATCTCTTAAAACAATAATGACTACGGTGATAGATGACAAGCGACTTATTTCCTGAAGTGTGTTAATCCAATCTAAGAGCACGCTAGGAAGCAAACTACATGCAAAAACCAAAAGGCAAGCCACTGCTCTTGACCATGGGAGATAGTGAGGGTAGAAATTTCTATAAATGGCTCTGATAGTTGTCTAGGAATGTCGCTAGTCGAGGCAGAGTGGTTTTTTTTTTGTCGCCAAAGTCTCGCCCATCTATAAAGGGATGAGGTCACCCATAGGCCTAAGATAAACACGACTTACAAACATTACACAAGAATCTTGTTTTCCAAAATGTGCATGCCGATTGGACGGGGGCATAAATGTCATCAAATCACCACGTAGAAGACAGTTAACTGTATGAATCCCAATCACTGTATGGATGCACTGTGTCATCAAGCATTAGCACCAGGCACCAAGAGGTTATAAAGCACAAGGGTGCGAGAGGTAAGTTGGTATAGCATGATTAGCTGTTTCAGCACAACTGAGATTAAGATGGCAGCATGACTGGGCATAAACTACTAAATCACTTTTATACTACACCCCACGTCTTTTGCTGCTTGTCTAATGTTTTTTTTTTTTTTTTTACTACTCAGCCTGGGTAGCTGTTTAAGTGCCTAATCAGGTTCCAGTGAGTACAGGATATGAAATAAGCAATCTTTTAACGTCAGTACTGCTTTTCACTGATGCCACGTACGTTTTCAAGTAATCTAATTTTTTAATAATAACCAAAAGTTAATTAAATTAATACTTGAAATTGACACAACTTGCACAATGCTCAACCCCTACAAAGCAGCACACAGATGCACAGACCTCTTTCATATGGAGAAATCTAAAACCTGTGTGATACAATAACTCTTCAGGTTTCAAAAGCGGCACGAATCAGCTCTGTGCATACAATGCCAAAGCAATTATCTTTTACAAAGCAGCACTACGACGACAAGTGCAGCACGCAACACCAGTAGACGTGATGACAGAGTTTTAACATTCCCAACATCAATGTACGTAGCAAAAGCATGTGGAATACAAATGTACTCAAAGCCAACTAGCCTGATGCCATTATGAAGTACAGCTTGATACATGGCAGGAAGCATGGACAGCATCATCAGTGAGATTCTCGACACAGTTCTATGTACAGTTAGTATTAAAGAGGCCATGTATAAAAGCTATCTACCTTTTGCTCATGGAAATAGGGTAGTTTACTCATATTGCTGACAAGAACCAACGTCGATGTATGTGAAGCAATGTAAAACATGTAGGAACCATGTACAGAATGAGTGGTTTATTTTTCTTCCAGGCAGCAGCAAGAATGTTTTTGAAGAATAAGTGAAAGTGACCAGAGATCAGCATTTCTGGCTTTCACTTTACTGAGATTTACTATAAATAATCACCTCTTCAAAAGGAAAAGTTTCACACACGAATGTAAATGACTGCTCTCAATTAAACCTTAACATCTTCTAAGAATTATACTAACTTGTTTTGCTTAGTGCTTGCACAAAAGCTTGTGCACTATGCAACATATCTATGATACATATGTGCATAACATGCATTGAAGCATTTTTAATAAGAACTTTCAGCAGTTACGAACTACACACAGCACTGGTGCGTGCCGGCGATGCTGAAATCAATCTATGGCATATGACACATCGCAACTGCACTCGCCTCTCTGGAAACTCCTATGCCTTTGTTGTCTAACCAAGCAAAAAACTTAAGACGATTCTGCCGGCAAGTACTTCCAACTATGCCAGACTGAGGAGAAGAGATGGCAAGTACGCACAATTTTGCTGCTAATGCTACCCCTGCTTCTGGGCGCCAAAGCAGTCAGATGGATGGCTCTCGGTCATTAACAGTAATATATATGCTTCTACTGGTGCAGGCTGCTCGCAACATTCTCAGAGCTACAACAGGCCCTGTGGCAAGGTGATTCAGAGAAACAGGTCACCAGCTTAGCACAGAAAAAAAAAAAGTTGGACAAAAAGTCGTCACAACAGTGAACAAGGAACCCGCATACAGTTTTGAAACGTCAGATCATCATCGGACTTGGTCAGTGACCGTGTTTCATCTCGTTCAGAGCTTGACCAGACGAACTTTCATCGAACTCTTGACGACATTACTTACCGGAGCACTTATTAACATTATGCAGGCTTGCACCCCACTGTCAGTCTGCCCGGAGGCACTCCTTTTCCTTTTTTTTTTTCTCGTCCCCTCTCTTTATCATGTTTGGGAGTCTCTGCGATTAGCATCTGAATTTGGGAAGCAAGCATATTTACCACTTTAGGCACAATCGGCATGCATAATGGACTAGAAGTCGTCATTAGATGACGACTTCTAATCCAGCTCAGTGAACAAAGGAACCCGTATGTGGTTCCGAAAAATCTGATCATCATCAGCCTTGGTCAGTGACAGTGTTTCATCTCTTTGAGTGAACATGCAACGCCAATACCATATCCCGCATAGAGAACAACAATCACTACACATTGTCACAATGAAGAGAATATTTTTTATGTGATGCTGAAGCGAAATTAACGTGTAGGACAGCTACAGTCTTGCTATCTAAAAGGTGTGCAAATCTTTTGCCACTCATTAATGCCACTTTATGTCTGACCGGTGTGTAAATGTACGTGTGCACGTAAAAGAAACATTACTTTAGATCAATCTATAGAGAAAATTATAAGCACCCCCCCCCCCCCTCCCAATGTCGCAATTTTTTTTCTATCAGCAGATCTTGAGATATCGAGAGCCCGGCTAAACTCCTGCAAAGCATGTCTAAATTCAAGACTGAAACTTGCTTATACTGAAAAGTGCGTTTATCCTTTTTAGTAGTTATCTCTATGCTAGGATTAACATCATTCAATCCTAAGCACGTTTTCATAACAAGCAGTTGCCATTTTTATTTGTGGAAGTCGGTCGGGCACTCAACAAGGAGTCAGAGGAGCACAAGTGGTTGTGCTCGTCGCATTTCTTTAATTTGTGCACAGTGCAGCGTCAAGGCATAATGTAGCCTGCTTTCTGAAATGTTTCCTTGTGTTGTGATGCATTAGGCATACACCATAACACGTGCATTCAATCTCTTAACATTGAGGCAAGACATTGAGAGTAGCTTGGTACTAACAAATAATCGTTATTTTATAGAGAGACAACACATGGATAAGAAAATGATTCTCGTCTACACTGTATGAATTCACTGGCACGTACCCCACGTTTAAGATAAACAATCATGCTGCCTCCGAGTTCCAGGGTTTAAGAAATTGAGGAGCAAACAACATCATGAATAATCAAAAGCTTGTATTTAAAAAAAATTTTAACAACATGTATTTCAGATTCAGTGATGTTCCTGCCTGCATGACTAAATAGTGACACCAGACTGGCATTCACTACATCTTCAAAAAATTCCTGCAATGACATTTCATTGCCATTGTGCCTAAAGTGGTAAATATGCTTGCTGCCCAATAACAGATGCTGTATCGCAGATACTCACAAAGACTCCCAAACATGATGAAGAGAGGGGAGGATAAAAAAAAAAGTGCCTCCGGGCGGACTGACAGTGGGATGCAAGCTTTTACTTTCCAGTTATATTCTCTCCATCTGGCAACGATGTGCTCTACCACATCTATGGCTCAGACTGGTAGCATAAAAACTAATGGGACACTAAATAACATACATGGAGAAAGGTTCAGTGCTTTGTTAATCCTCTAATATGATTAAATAGATAAAGTTACAAGCAGTGCACAAATATAGCATTCATGATACCACAAGCAAGCCATCCACATTCCTTAGGCCAACAAGTACGTTTTACCTTGCGAGGTCTCCACACCTATGATTATACCTGCAATTTTCTCAATACTAAACATTCGATAAGTAATCAACATACGGTTAAAACAAGAAATGCAAGTTTAATAACAATTAAGCAATTTGCTGCACAGCTGAAGCGCTACCACCAACAAGTAGGCATGACCAAATGTCACTATCACAACGACTGTAGTACCTACAACCGACTTGCAGTGAGAAATGCGCTAACAAATGGCCGGTGCTTTCAAAAATACAGTCTAGCAAACTGTGGAATGGAAAGAGGGTCTGTACACACAGGAAAGCCTATCATAATCACGTGTATCATGGGACCACGGTCAAGTGGTTTGTGGCCAGTCAACTTCATATCTACACTTTAAACAAAATGGCTGCCGCTGGCATCGATAATATGTGCTTCAAGTTTTGTCAAGGCAGAAAGAAGAGTTTTAACGCAAAGCTTGAATTACACCTGTTCACAATGTGCAAACATTCACGTAAGTGCAGACTTGAAAGATAACCTCCTTCCACATGGCCACCAGTTCTTTCACCACATTTTAGAAAACTATCCATAGGCTCACAGGTAATCATAAATGTAGCCACAAACACAGGACTGTCGACACAATTTGCACGTAGCTGATTGGTGTTTCGTGTCTAGCTCTAACGATTTCCTCACTACCTTGACCAGCAGCAAAAGGCAATCACTAAAAGCACCCATTGCCCCCATGCCTCCTGCACTTGACTAGAGCACAACGCAGCAGCGGCAGTAGCGTGGCCTGCCACCCCCGACAGAGGGCGGAGGCGTGACGGGCGCAAAGTAGGCGTGCACCTTCAGGTCTAGCAGGTGGCTGCGAAGCTTGCGGATGCCAGCGCGGGTGATAAGCTGGCAGTCGTACAGCTCTATGCGCTGCAGATTCTGGCATGCGACCAAGTGCTCCAACGAAGCATCCGTTATCAACGGGCAGTTGTCCAACTCCAGAACAAGCAAGTGCTCCGCCGCGCCGGCGCCCGCACCGAGGTGCCGGATCCCCTCATCCGTCACGAGCTCACAGTGGGAGAGGCTCAGCTGCTGTAGCTTGGGGCAACCGTTGGCCAGATGCATCAATGTGTTGTCCGTTATCAGCACACACTCTTCGAGGTCCATTTTCTCAAGTGAGTGGCAGGAGCGGGACAGTGCCTGGAAGCCGCTGTCCGTCAACTGCGTGCACCCAGCCACCTCGAGCGTGCAGAGCGCGTGGCATCCCTGGCTGAGAGACACGAGGGCGGCATCGGTCAGGTGTGCACAGTTGGAGACACACAGGAAGTGAAGCTTGGGACAGTGCTGGCTGACAGCCTGCACTGCAGTGTCAGTGATGTTGGTACACTCGTGAAGGTTGAGGGTCTGCAATCCTCCACAATGCTGGGCCAGCTTGGAGACTGCCTCGTCGGTGACCATTGGGCAGCCCTTACTGACGAAGCTTCGCAGCCGTGGGCAACCAACAGCGAGAGCTTCCACACCATACTTGGACACCTAAGCACAAGTTTGTGTCAGCAGTTAAGTGAAAGTAACAGGTTCACTAGTTGATTAAAGGCACCGCTCTTATGTACGTTTTCACAGACACAGCATGCTGTGACCAGCACAAATAACAGCCAAGATAATGGAAGGGGAACACAAGCAATGCTCCTCTTATTTTCCGTTTTTTTTTTTTTGCACTGGATATTTCAATATTTATTACTAACTCACCCCGAAAACAAACTGATGCAGCAGCAGATTGTGTCTTTCACTGATATGTTGAATGAAAGCAGTTTCTCTAGACCAATAATTAAAACCCCTGTCACAGGATCAATTCAAACCACTGATGAGTGCACTTCCATTCAGCAAACCAATAAGCTACTGACTAGGAAAATATCACATGGACATTGCATGCAAACAAGAAAATCATACAAGATCAATGCAGAGCTTTAAAACTGTGCAGGGAGCAGAATCACTAGAAAAAACACTAGAAATGTGATGGGTGCAAAAAGTAATGCGCTGACCTGTGGTATAGCTTCAGAGCTTTTTTTTTTTTTATCTGTGTGAGAGTAAGCTTGCTTACCTAGGCACCAATGAGGTAACACGGTAACATGTAAGCTCCCCAGATTGCATCTATCGTAACATCCCAGGCAAGTGCCCCCTCCCTTCTTCGGGAGATTTTAAATATCTGCCAATTTATGCAATTCCACAATTTTTTAATGCTTCATCCCCTGTTCCTATTGGCCCGACAAGGGCGAATGAAAACAGTGGATGCATGAATATTTAATAAAGCATTGGATTAGAAGCATGGGTGAGCATTCTTCTTTAGAGACTCTTTGACCACCATTTTGAATTTAGACTCATGACTGAAGCATGGACGCCCGGTTCGAATATTGTCGCATTGTCCTTCATCGTAGGCGAAGCGCTTGCTTCGGATTTTATGATATCACAAAAGTTGTATGAGTATAGCGTACAGCAGTCGGAAGCTTGCCTCAAAGTTATACAGTCCTCTACCTCGTCCTAAGCTTTCACAGCCCAACAACTCCACCCCATCTTACTAGAGCTACTAGATCGCGAATGCTTGCTTGCTGGGACATTTTATGCGCACAGTAATAGGTCTAGTGAACCTGGTGAACTGTTGCGGCGACAGGGAAAAGAAAAAAACACCAGGCCTGCGCGGAAGGCGCAGCACAGTCACAAGAAAAGCTAGAAGAGTGGCCTTTCAGAGCCTTTTCTAAACACTCATTGGGTAACTGCTGCAAGCACATTTGCTTGATACCCGCTACGGCATTGATAATAAAAATTTTTGTGTAGTAGTCTGGCACTCACTAAGCTATTTTTCGTCATTCTTCTGAGAAGCAAAGTACCTGCTACACACTTGCAAGAAATTTTGTGGCAATTGTTCATGCAGTGGCTGACGACGAGAAGTCATGGCTGAAGTGGGTATGCGCCACACTTAATAGTGGAACAAGAACAAGCTTTTGGAATTGGTTGGAGCATTGGACGACCCACTCGTTATGCTTTTCGCATTGTGCGACAACCGGTTGTTCTTTCACTGTTTGAAAACACTTTATAAGTCGTATTAAAGCGATTGCTTTCCCTAGAACATGCCTGCCTCAGGCAAGTTTACCAACAAGTCCCAAGCACCGGTGTGGCTCAGTGGTAGAATACCGATCTCTGTCATTGGTGCTAGTTTCTTTCCTTTTTTTTTAATTTTGCGCGATGTGGTTACGGACACTGGCGGCTGTGGACAACTGCGCGTGACCCGAGTTGTGATCTCATAACAGCTTTCACTATAAAATTAAACAGCCTGCGCTAATGTTGTTCCAGTGTAGGCTTTGGTGTAGTTGGTTCCTACACTACCGTGAAGCCCGGGGAAGTGTGTAACATGAGCAACGCAGTGATTTGCTTGGCAATTGCACGCTTGCCTGGGCAGTGGTGCCATCTCTTGCTTGGCGCGGATACTAATCTGCATTAGAAGAGGGTTTTTTTTTTTTTTGCGATTTCATGTAAATTGTTGTGAATAATTCAAGGTTATATCTGTACTTTATATTATTTTAACCTCATTACTTGATTAAGAAGATCTCAAACATTGTTCTAGGCCTGTTATTACCAGTGTTGCCAATTTAGCTATTTTGTAGCTATATCTAGCTACTTTTAAACTCGGCAAGCTACTGAAAATTTTATTTAGCTACGAGTAGCTATTCTAGCATTTTTGTCCAAAATTTAGCTCCTAGTCTAGCTATCTTCGGTAATTCTAGCTGTAGTGTATTGACATTTTCTGAATTATTAATGCTGAGCAAGACATATAATACATGTATACAAAACTCACAGTCATTTCACCCAAGGAAAACATAGCGGACATTTTTCGTGTTTTTTAACTGTAGATTTCGTCGAAAATAGAAGAGAATCAGGTGCAAGAAAAATCAACGGACTGCCACGGACAAATGGCGTGATTTTTTGTCGAGTTTAGTTCCTCTTAATTTGCGACGAAATGGCATGACACACACACAAGAAAAAATGCCACAAATACAGCTTGCCAAGTGATGTGGTTCAGAAATCGGCACGATAGCATTATAATCAGCGGCAAAAGATGATGTTCTTTTAATAACCGATATCGACCAATATGTACCGCAGGAGTTATGACCGTTTACCACCACAGCTTCCTATGTACCTTGGACTACAGGCACCTTGACCATTCACAAATTAAAACAATGAAAGTGATCGTCGCTCTTCTAATGCATTGTTCCACTGGGGTCACTTCCTCAGTGCTGGTTATTCAAAAAATATTAGAAAAAAGATATTTCGTTGTTCTATTATGCACTGTTCGATTCCTTCACAAACCACAATATTCACACACCCGTGATGTTTACAAAGCTCTCATGCATTCCCAGCTCCCCTTTGAGGGACATGCAAGCCTTGACACTTTGCTAAAACCACACCTACCCTAAATTATTGGAATCAAAGTAGGAACACAATTCTTTTCATGCATGTCCTGCATAGTTATGTCTAAAATTGTTTGAAAAATAGTATAGCTACTTCTTAAGCTCTTTGGTGGATGTTTTTGGCTGTTTCAAACTACTTTGCTGCTGTAATCTAGCTATTTTTGCTCTCCGACTTTTGGCGACACTGCCTGTTATTATTGAGCAGTGCGACCACACGACATGAGACAGTGGATGGACTATCCAGGCCCCCGACGTGCTACGCACTTGAAGCAAAAAATCGACGCGACGCACCTGGTCGCACCAGGAAATGTTGATCTGCTCAAGCAAGGGACAGCCTTGGCCGATTGCCTTGAGTGACAGGTCCGTAACCTGGCAGCATGAGCCCAGGTCGAGGAAGGTGAGCTTGCTGCAGTGCTTTCCCAGGCTCTGGCAGGTGCTGTCGGTCAGTTTCTTGCAGCCGTTCAGATTCAGGTCCTCGATGTTGTTGCAGTTCTGCGCGAAAGTCTTCAGGGACGCGTCCTCCACGCTCTGACAGCCGCGCAGGCTGAGCTTCTTGAGGAAACCGCCGCATCGGCGCGAGATGTTCTCCACCACGGGACCCTCGATGTCCGTCTGAAAGTTGAACAGGTCGATCTTCTGCCAGTTGCTGCCGTCCAGCGCGAGCTCGTGCCACAGCTTGGACACCTGTGCACAGGCGCAGAGCGAGACAACGTCCAGGTAGGAGAAGATGCGAAGCAGCAACTCCTTGGGAAGCTTCTTGTTGATGAGCGCATCATCTTCGGCCGCCGTGACTCCTCTGACCAGCACTTCAACTTTAGCCTTGGGCGCCAGGGTCATCACTCGCTGAGGGGGCGAAGCGAATCCCGACTGGCGACGACTACGCGTTTTGGTCGCTCGCCATGGCACGCGCGTGGCTTTCTTTTGTGTTCGTGCCTGGTAGAACAACGCAGCGTCTCTTCCCCGATGAGGGGATTCGCGAGAAGGGCTCGATTACCGCTGCAAAGGCAGGAGACCGCTGAGCTCCGGAAGCGTGTTCTTTGAACACCGGGACTCTGAAATGCTGATACCACGTAAACTACTCACGCGCACCGCTTGGTAAACACGGCAACACGGGTGTCGCACAGTAAACACGCCATGAAACTCATCGCGGGAAAGATGGGGTGGGCTAGTGGAGGGAAGTGTGATGGAAACAGCAGCTTTTCCCAGAGCCTTGATTTTGAATAGTCGCTAGCGCCACAGCACTCGCATTTGATTGTGTTAATATAATTTAGTTTCAAACTGTTTTAACTACTTTTAAATACTTATTTTTTATTGCTTAAGATACAAGAATTTTGTATTTTAAATTAACGCGCAAGTTATTAGCAGCTAATATTATTCGAAGCCTAATTGTCAAACTGTTTACTATTAAATTAATCTTAAAACAATCACAACAATTTAAAATAAAGAAGTTATTAGGTGTTAGTGGTTACGTTTTTTTAACTATTTTTTTCAAAGCTTTAACACAACTTGAACAGCTGCGCCACCTGTCAAAAGAGAATGCCCAATGAATTTTGTTGTGGTGTGACGTAACTCATGGACCGCAATCGATTTTCTGCTAGGGCCCTATTTACGTCATGATAGTCAGCAAAATTATAAGTACTGTGAGTAGAGAACACAGTCTACCTTCTCACATCTGAGCTTCTTGACGTTGAAGGTAAGCCCCGATGCTGTCTGCATACGATGTAAAGTGTTTTGCTGTCTGTCGCGTTCGCGGACGACTCGGTTCCGTCGGGCATTGCTGTGCCCCGACGCTTGTAGCGTTCCGATTGGAACCCGACGTTGCTACAGATTTCATTGTATCATGCAGTAACGTTCTCGAGCGTTCGAAGGGACCATTTAAGGTTTGTTTTGAGCTGTGACGCGAAGTGTTTGTGTCGGGACGAAGCCTAGCCGTCGCGGTGAAAGTGGGTCATTGTGGAAGCGTTGTTCTTCAAGCACTGACTCGGGAGGGGGGGTGTTGTTTACATGGGCGCTTGTCGAGTGTTAGAAGTTGAGATAGCTCGCTGCCGTCTCGCAAAAGCATTCCAGTGGTTGACAGGACGTAGCGAGTGCTTACTTCAATGCGTGCACTGTCGTTGTCAACGGACGTACTTGTCGCGATAGTCGACGCGTCCGAGGGAAGGCGGGGGTTGTCACGAACGTCAGTAGTGCAAACAGCCCTCCCCCTTTTTTTGCTGTGCTTTCTTCGTTACGCTTGGCCACGCTAGCCTCGCACGGCAAATCGGGAATGCGAAACAGTTTCCGATGTGTCCCGCCGAAGCCGATATCGAATAAAGAACCAAAACACTTGGCTGGGGAGGAAAACAAGAACAGCAACAAAAGCGCTGCGCGCGAGGTGAAAGAGCGAGCGGGTGCTCGCGAAGTGACCTTCAGCGAGTCGCGCGCACTGGAGAAACTACGTTCACATTCTTGGGGACAGGCGCCGACGCGGTCCGCCTACGTTTTTGTTTGTTTCATTTCTTGAAACGGCCCGCGACATCTAGCTACGACGGACTACTCAATCGAGCAGTCCTGGGTGCAGCGGTAGCCGGCCTTGCATCCTGTTCGTCCGTGTCGCGGAAACCCGAGCAGGGGAAACACTTGCTTCCTTTTTCCGTCGCTCGCCCGACCGGCGGTGGCTCGCGCTGGCTGGTCTGTATGTTACGCCGCCGCAGCCTTGCGAAGCCCAAGGAGGGGGCGGTGTGCCCCCACCGTCGTAGTCGCGTGTCCATCTCGTGCCTTGGCGCGTCAGTACGCGTACACTACCCATCGCGGCTTCGTCGCTGCGCCCAGCTGCCAGGAGCGGTACAGCGCATCCATTCGGTGGGGGGGGGGGGGGGGGGCGGTGGTGCACGTTTTTAAAGGAAGTTTTGGTGCTGCTGGCTTATATTTATGGGTGGGGAATCGACAAGGGTTTCCAGGTACCGAATACGGAGTGTTATGCGCGGCTTTCTCGCATAGGTCAATCTTAGTCGCTAACGCAGGCCGACCAGACATCGAGAAAAAAAAAAAAGAGCGTTTCGACACTTGAGCGCGACCTTGCCAACCTTTTCGGAGTACTAAAAAAATAAGCAAAAGTTGTTTACACAATCGTTGTGTTCTCGCTCTCTCCCTGCACACTTCCCCCTCGCAGTTCCCTTGCTATTGTCGCAATGCGCCGATATGACGGCTTTGTACGATTGCTATTGTTGACATCCTTCCTGCGAGGAAAACTTTGCGCCCGCCGCAAATTAGATGTTTGTTTTGCAATTGAGCGCAGAGTTGCCCTTCCATTGTAAACCACCGGTCTGCTTGCAGGCATCACTTGTGGAAGACGTATTGTGGTTAAATTGGCAAAATGAACTGAAGCGAGCACTCTGGCTGCACCATTGCAGTTACGCCTAGGCTGTGATAAAAGGATGCTGTCTGGTTTATTCTTCTAAATAGCTAATCGGCAAGCCATTTTTAGATTGTCTGTGTGCCTAGCTTTCATCGTATATTCACATTGAAGCTTGACACTGATAATTCGTAAACAAGCTACATGTTCTTAAATAAAGAACTTGTACAGACTAATCATGCAGTGCTTGGTAGCTTATCATAGGGGGAACTACAGAGCTGGGGCCAAGCTACAGGTGCAAGATTGTGTAGACATGCATCACATTGATTGTGGCCTTTAAACACACTAGCCCATGTCCTCTGCTTGATGTGATGCAGCATGATACTCTCGTTACTAAGTTTTAGAGACCACGCCTTCCACAAAATATTCATAGTCCTAGCATTGCTGTGCGATGTGATCTCGATACATTGCATTAATTAGACAAATTACCGCATCGTTTTAAAACTTTCTCGGAGATAAAACAAACATAAGGATCCCTGAGCTTTACCAATAAGAGTAGAACGCGATGGAGCAGTTTGGCCCCCATTTGCATCACCTTCTCAATCGCTAACCTGGCTTTACTGTTGGACACTTCAATTGTGCCACAACGAAAGAAATGCATTTGCATGTCACAATGCTCATTTCAAACTATTCTTTTGTGCCTATTGCTAGCCACAAGTTCGTGAGGTGTAGGGCACTTTGTGGATGTTAGACCCTTAAACTAAGCACTGATTGTGAAATTTACATGTTTTGATGCCTTGGGCAATTCTGCGCTTCTGCCGTGCATTATCACATTTGTGAAGGAGACTCCTTCTACTGCATGACATTCATAGCTTTTAAACGTTCATTTCCAAGCATTGGCATGACTCTGTGGTTGCATACCTGGTTGCCATGCTGAAGTCTTGGGCTCGATTCCCGCTCGAATAGAAGTTCTTTATTATCTTCTATTGCCTATATTTGGAATTTTTGCTTATGGACAACGCTGAATTTGCTTGCAACCAACAACACCGACACTGTAATATCTGCGGAATTAGCTCTCGAACATTACCGCGTTAAAAGAACTCTATCACATCTGGTCTCTCAACTCTTGTAGACAACTTCAATAGACACCACATAACAAAAGCTTGTGACCTCTTGTGTAGTGATGTCTGGAAAAACAATTTTCAACCAAAGCTCCCCCCCAAAAAAATTTTAACTTTACCTTAAATTGGGCGAATTGGTGACAGTTTATTGCTTAAGTGGTAACTATGTACACTCAGTTCCTCATTTCTTACTAACATTGTTTCTATGTAAGCTGTACCCACCATACCACTACTGTTTTTCACAATTGGTTCATTGCATCCACAAGCTTGTACATTGATGGCACTTGAAAGATTCAGTCATTTTGTTTGTCTTTGTCAAAAGTGTCCCTACTGCCACAACTGCGGCACTTGTAACACTATATGACCCACAGCTTGCCCACGGTCAGTGCTGCCTCTGTTTCTGTTAAACCGTTTCCATTCCCCTTGAATGCAATACACATTCTTGGGCATTCGTTTACTCTTGCATGTAAATTTGCTTGTCTTTCTCTCATTTTAGCACATTCGAGAAGTGCACATTGCAAAATTTTAGCAGTTGAGCCTCTTCCAAGCTGCAAGCTAGAATTATTCCTGCGAAAACCACTTTCATATACGCAACTGTAGCATTTACGTGCCTCAACGCATCCACAAATGCATCCTATTTCTCACAAATGATCGATCACTGCCAATGGGACATTGCCACTCGTGAAATTTGTATGTTGCTTGCATACCTTCCCAGCACACCCTTAGAGCACATGCACAGAAGCTTACTACTCCGAGTATTTCAAATATTTCAAGCTTTTCCCTGACACTGGCTCGTGCAGTGTTGGATTGCAAGTATTGCTCTGTCATCGTTTCCAGTTTTGAGCAGAGCAGGAATCTGGGGAAGAGCATTAACAGTAGATATGTTCTTTCACTCTCACTCATTTCTTTATCCACTCTCTTCAATCACATGTAACTGTACCCAAACCAATCATCATTGATGTGGGAGTTATGATAGCCTGTCATGGCCCAAATACCATTCTGCACAATGAAACTGCGACAACTTCCTATTGGGACCTCCATTCCGGCTAGTTGTTCCATGGCTAGAACAAATTGTTCATGTTTATATGTAGCTCTGTAAAGTGTGTCCATATTGAAAACATGAGTAATTATTTATTATAGCCATTAATGATTTCTTGGTTTCCTGGACTATTTACAACTTAGTCCTATCTTTCTCAAGCCACACCTGAAAGTCATGCTATGGGCCATAGTGTTTTTATTCAGGAGACTTCCTATCCTCTATCATACCTTGCATATATATATTCTTGTTTTTATAGAGCAACAAGGAACAGTTGGCCGAACGAAATTGTTGACGATTAGCACGATGCTTGCAGTCTGTCTGTCTGCTGCTGAAAACTTATCGCGCAAATGTCTGAAAAAAGAAAAAAGTGCATTTATCACTAGCAGCAGAAGTCAAAGCCCTTCCAATGCATTCTATCTTATCAGACGCACAACATGAGCACAGCGTCGCACGCTTATGTTTTGCCATTCTCGCAAAAGGCATCGGATAAGGCATTTCTGGAGTACCTATGAGAGGAGCAGAGCAGTTTTGGCAGTCCTTGCCTTGAGGATGAGCTTTTCTCTCTCTCTTCATAGGTACATTAGTCTGAATCAAGTTAGTGTAAACTGTTCTTTCGTTAGAGCCGCATACTCCTGCTGTGACCTTGATGCAGCGTCGGATTTCGAAGCTTGAGCTGAAAACGGCGAAGGAAAAGTGACATTGAGTAAGATAAAATCGCTCTTTCGTTATTTTTACTTGCCATTTGTTATGAACAAATGGCCTTGGTGGATTCAGGCAGTTATACCAACAAGTTTTTCCGGCTTCTATGCTCATGGCATATTTGTGCCTCTGATGAGTGATATTTGATTGCTAATTACCACGATATTTATAAATGAAACAGGTGATTTATCATTCAGGCGTGTGGATCGTAGAGAGATATGAGGCAACATGCTCTGGCTCAAGTCTTTTTTGCACACTGCACCGTGCGATTGTCTAACATAAATGCACTTTGTGGCAAGCGCCCTCGGGCTGTAAATCTTGGAACAATAACTAGTTTCGGGGATTCTTATTGCATTGGCGTGCAGCAAGAAAGCTGCTTCAATTGCACACCTGTAGCATGGGCAAGTTTATTCCTGAATATCGCTACTTCTGATGTCTTTGTGTACGCAACTTTTTTTAATTGACTTCTGTCTTAATGCGCTGTTTTAAAAAGTTGGTAAAGGACATTGCTAAAATGTTCAGTTCTATTGGTGCATAGTTAAAAAGCACTTAGTGGCAGAGTTATGCATGCCAAAATGTTTCCAGTTAAGCTTAGCCAAACCATGAACCAATAAGCTATGTCCGTCATAACTTTTGTTTTGCCATTGTTCAGTTTGTTACTTTAAAAGGTTTTTTTTAAGTGGCATTATGTAAGGGGTGTGTTTATTTACATTAACATTAAGTAGTAAAGATTGTTTTAGTATTAAAGTTTATTAATAGATTGGTATTAAAAGGCAGATAATGAAGTGATGGTGATGATGTCCTGGGGCAGACTGTCTCAGTTTGTGGCTGCTTGAAGAAGAAAAAAAAAGAACCTGGCAGAAAAAGTAGTGGTGCACAATAATCGGTGGACAACCTTGAATGGATGATGGTTCAGTGAGATATGCGTGCTGTGGCTGTTTCATAAGGTAGCTGAATGAGTAAAAATTGGAAGACTTGGTGATAAAGTATGAAAGTTGCAGTACGGCGGCGCAAAGACTAGACTGGTAATCCAGATTTTGCTTTCGAAGATAAACTACTCAATCATACAAGTAAGATCAGTGAATGACTGCAGCAGCCCATTTTTGTAGTGCTTCTAATGCATTGATTAAATATGCTTGATGTGGGCTCCATATGGTAGATGCATGGCCCCGCCGCGGTGGTCTAGTGGCTAAGGTACTCGACTGCTGACGCGCAGGTCGCGGGATCGAATTCCGGCTGCGGCGGCTGCATTTCCGATGGAGGCAGAAATGTTGTACGCCCGTGTGCTCAGATTTGGGTGCTCGTTTAAGAACACCAGGTGGTCGAAATTTCCGGAGCCCTCCACTACGGCGTCTCCCATAATCATATGGTGGTTTTGGGATGTTAAACCCCACAAATGAATCAAATTAATGGTAGATGCATATTCTAATTTCAGTCTAATTGTTTATATGCAAGGAGCTCTAGTTGGTATGGTGCTTAAGAAAACCCGATGTGTTATTAGATGCTGAAACTATATTAGCAGTGTGGGTATGCCATGGTAAATACAAGGTTACTCCAAGATATTTATGAAATTGCACTTATGAAGTTGCATTGAAATTGCATTGTTATGAAATTGTGTAATGAAATTGAAATTGCACTTGTTGACATTTACGTCGACGTTGATTGTTGAAATAACGGTCCAGAAACCTCGTAGTATTACTTTTGTGCCAAGAAAGAGCTTATTTTGAAATAAATTCATGTTTTAGTGGCCCCCATTGAGTTAGCACACTTCAAATTACACGCCTCAAGAAGCGGACCGAACTAACATCACTGTTGTTGCAGTGCACAACGTTGCCCGGCTTTACTGCGCGGTTGCTGAAATTCCACAGTCGCTGTTTGCACCGTTGGTTGTGAGAAAAAAATCGTCCGTGAGCGAACAATTGAGGAAAAAAAGCAAATAAAATAAAGAATAAAACTTTCGGTTTTGCTGAGGATCGAACCCGGGCCATTCGCATGGCAAGCATGTGTTCTACCACAAAGCCACAATGTTACTTGCAGTTGCTTCAGAAAAAAACACTATTGAATGTCATGTTGTAGAAAGAGTCTCCTTAATGCATTTTGTTCTACAGGTGTCGCGACGAAAACGAGCCCATTCAGCAATTTGTGGGCACATTTGGGAGGCCCTCAAACTACGTCGAAAAAGGCCTGAATAGTGCAGCTATCGCCGCTAAAAACACGCAGGAACTTTCACACAGCTCTAAAAATGGACAACCATGTCCATCTAGCGGAAAACATATCGCGTCTTTCCAGAGGCGTTGATCAAGTAAACTGCAAACGCTAGATAATGTGCAGCCATCTATGAGGCATTGTGTCTCTTTACGGCCTCGGAAATGAATGGCGCGGCAAGTATCTTGGACGCCATGCGACTCTTGCTTTAGATCGAAAACCTAAATGTACCATTCGTACAAGCTCGTGGGTGTGTATGTGTCTATGTGCCATCAAACACTCGCGCTTGCATGCCCGCGTTTGTGTGCGTGTTTGTGTGTAAAACATATTAATAAGTATGCACTTAGAGGTTGAAGGGCGCACTAGGGGCCGGATTTCGCTATTGCCGGATTTCGCTATTTTTTAAATATTTGCTAATTTTTGCTCGGAGCTAACACCAGAATACCAACACTGAAATTTCCGCAAAACAAGCACTCTCGCACTATTGCATTAAAACTGTTTGCCAATAGGCATTGTTGAGGATAGCAGAGAAGCTGCTCCAAAATGTCAGTATGCTGACTCAACACACTGTAGGCATCGCACCGAAGGAAGTGGTTCTCGTATAATGTTTTAATGCTGATTAGGCAGTTACTTTTATGCAGTGCATGCGCAATATGTTGAGTGAAACATTAAATCAGTTTCGACAAGTATATTATTTTGTCAGAACTGCATTGTAATTTTGTAATCGTAGGTTAATTGTTAGGAGTGAAAATAAAGGTGAATGTTTTAAGTTCACAATGAAACTTCAGAATTATGCAAACATCGGTGTGACATCCGCATTTTTTTTTGCATATTTTGGCCACTCTGGCTTAATATAATTATCTGAAACTTGTTATGTTAAAAGGTTTTTTGGATAGTTTAGAAAGCGAGTTAAACCGTTTTTATGTATGAACAATTTTGAGGCCATAGCAGATGGCTTCAAAATCTGTGTCGTCACGATGAGTGGTGCTGGAGCTTTGATGAGGCTGGATCACTTGTACTTTGTTTTTGCACATTTTCTCACTTTCCAAGCATCTTTTTACACTAGGGTTGGTGCTTTTATTGTGAAATCATAACTCACTAATACCATGCTAATTGTTTTTTTTTTTTTTCATTACTCTAACGCGGTGCCATAATCCAATTTCATGCTCGAAGCTAAGGAGGAGTGAGTAAACTCGCCACAAACCTCTTGAGAGCAGTTCTCTTGTAATGCGTGTGCCTTATCACAAATTTTCAGCGAAATGGTTCTCTCATATGTGTTGGGCACTTCTTATGCTTACGCTATCATCATCATCAACTTGACTACGTCCACTGCAGGACAAAGGCCTCTCCCATGTTCTGCCAGTTAACCCGGTTCTGTGCTTGCTGCTGCCAATTCATACCCACAAACTTCTTATTCTCATCTGCCCACCTAACCTTCTGTCTGCCCCTAACCCGCTTGCCTTCTCTGGGAATCAAGTTAGTTACCCTTAATGACCAGCGGTTATCCTGTCTACGCGCTACATGCCCGGCCCATGTCCATTTCCAATGTCCAAGTCCAATGTAGTATAGCTATACTACATTGTTACTAAGAGCACACCAACCATGGGGAGAGCATAGAGGTGAAACAATGCCCAAACCTTTCTCTTGGTGCATGCAACTTTGTGTGGCATCAAATAAAAAAAATTGGTCCCGTATCTGCATGTTAATCTGCAAATGTCGTTGAAAGACACAAGTTTTGAATGGTAGAGAGTGAACAAAACATTTATTTGATGTTCTGCGCAAGAAAATCTGTGAATGGTATTCTGGAGGCTCTGCGTTAGAGTGCCTCGAGCGTGCAGCAGAGGCGAACTAACGCATAAAGTCGCGGCACACGCAAGACATGAGCATCATCTGGCAGTTTTCCTGAAAAGCGAAGAGCATGGCTCCGAGACAGATGTGCGCGCCCTCCTCAGAGGTGATAAGGTGTAGAATACAAGGTGACGAGTAGGTGCCACCACCCTCTCGTTTTAGCAAAGCATTGGAAACACTTGCCTGTTTGTGCAAGCTTTGCGTGGTCAGCGCAGCGTGGTAAGAGCTACGGTCCTTAAAGTTACTTTTGTATGTCTTTTCTAGTAAAAGACGCATATGCAGAATATATACGTGTTGTTAGGTGCCCCAGACATGTGCAATCGTCAATTAAAAAGCAATTATTGTGCAAGTATGAATGCTGAATCTTGATGGGCGCTGCAGATGGGGTCGGCCGTTTCAGTACCCCATGCTGTTACGAGTAAACAAACAGACAAAGGTACAGACAAAAATTTTTGCGTCTAAAGTCCTGCAGAAAAACTATCGTTTTTAAAAGCAGCAGTGTATGTGTACGCTCAGACTTTTCGTAACACTACGGACTTGCAGCCGTATTGTGGAGCACTGTCGGGGCGTCTCGCAGTACCTCTAAAAACGGCAAGTTCATTTCTTCATGCAGGGTCCTTGGCATGGAGGCCGGGGAAGGGTCCCTACCCATCGACGATGGAGGTGGCAACCCGTCTAGTTTCCTAAACCTGACTGGGAGCGAGGCTTACCCCAAGCGGGCATTGGTATCGGACGACCCATCTCTGGCTGTGCCGTTCCCGTGCCTACCTGGTGAAGCGGTGGAGTTCCTGGGCCGATCGACACAAGGGGTTGTGGCTCTTTCGTCGTACCGCTTCTTTTTGGCAGGTCCCGATCAGCAGCTCAACCTACCCCTTGGACTACTAGAGACAGTTGAATGTCGCGACATCTTTTACCTCCACCTAATCTGCAAGGATGCCCGCTCTTTCAGGTGATTTATCACTCGCTCTTTCATTTTTTTTTTTTAAGTGTTCATCAGTAAAATTGTATTGGAAGAAACATGGTTTTGTGCATAGGCAGAGCACTCTAGATTTAATATTTTGTTGTAGTGGTGGCTCGAGATCAATTTTAACCACCAGAGTCTTTAATAGGCACCTAAATCTATTTACAATTGTTCTTGTGTTTACTCCCACCAAAATGCTGTCACTGCAGCGAGTTTCATACCTCCGGCCTCGCATGCAGCAGTGCAACAAGATCATAGATTCTGTGCCATTATTGCACACATGTGTATATTTATTCAAATGTATGCTCTTCACTTAAGTTCATAATGAAAAGACCAATCGGCAAAAATTGAAGTGCCTATATGCAGTTATGGCATAATTTGTGTTGGTCATTCTAATGGATTTTGCCAAACTTGGCTGGTGACCACTTTGACTGGATTTTTTTTTTTTTTTTTAGTAACTGGGACAAGTTATATCGGAACCTGCTTGTATAGTGCCTCTTTTGTAGAATAAGGCTTGTCATGAGACCATTGAGTGCAGCAATTGTGGAAGTTTTAAGGACACAAAGAAGAGCGCTAAAGCTGTTCGCAATGCTAAAGTTTTCTCTCAAAGTGCTACATTATTGTTTCATACCAATACATTAATTACTAAGGAAAATGTAGTCGGACTTCCATTTTCTTTCTCTCTTTTTTTCTATTATTTCTTATCAATTCCTCGGTGCTGGTACCTCAGTGTTGCATAATGAGCCTCGCTGTACTTGCTTGTGTTAGGCCATTGTCAACTTGCCAATTTCTCAACAATTATTTCTCTGCCTTAAGCAGGTCATCCAATGTGTTTTATTATTATTTGTAGGTGTTCGTTTGCCACAAATGAAGACTGTCAGAAGTGGCACAAGCGCCTCACCAATGCAATCCAGTTGCCGAACCGGCTGGACGACCTGTTTGCCTTCCGTTTCTACCTCTACTGCCGTGAAGAACGTTACGATGACCTTTTTTGCTTTCTTAAGAGTGGTAAGTTCAGTGCCTCTTTGTTTCAACCTTTTGAAGGCCTTACTTTTATGAGTGAACAAATAGTTTTTACATATGCGTTTGATAATGTGTACACTCGCAAATTATTGTTTGTGAATGGCAAGAGGGTCACATAGCTTCGCATTGGGCTGTGTGGATATTTCGCTGGCTTGCTCATTTGTTCACTGGGTCATAAAGGCAAAACTATTTCTTATTGCACTTGGTATTTAGCATCATGAGTGTTTGCCTCTTATCAAGCATAAGAGAGAGAGAGAGAGAGAAGCACAGTGTGGTTTTTGAAAAAGTAAAAAAAAGAACAAGCAATGACATTGGAAGTTTCATTTGTTGTCATCTAATGCACAAGCAATAAAAAAGTCTTTATTTTAAGGAATATTCAGTTGAATCTCTTTTATATAAAGCTCTCTCTCAAGCATTGCACCAACATCGTGCTTCAATCATTACAATCCCGCTGGAATCCTTAATCACAGTATTGCTGTATCTTCCAATGCATTGTAGTGGTTCACCAGTCTGTGTAGACCATTCAGTAGGGTCGCAAACCTATTCACTAACATAGATAATCGGCTTCATTGCTTCTTATTTTTATTTTTTCCGTATTCTTTACTTCATCAGACACCTAAAGTTTATATTACATGAATTTGAATGCACAGTGTGCCATGCACGAATTCATTGTTCAGTTAAAACATCAGTGCTAGTTCGAAGGGTTTTTATTGTTCGTGGTACAATACTGCTAGCAGTGAATTTGAATAGAGTGCCATTGCTTGTAAAGTGTTTGTGCTAACCTCCTCCTATTGCATTTTGGCATTGCAGATAGGCCAAGTTTAGACAAAGACACTTCCCTCCTGCACCAAGAATGCAAACGCATGGGCTTTGACACAGACCTCGGGGGCACGTGGAAGCTCACAAGCATTAATGAAAAATTCAAGTGAGTCGCCTTGTGTTTGAGTCTCTCAATGCTTTAAGGAGGCAAAATCTTGTTTTATGTGAATGAGCCTCATGCTGATGGTGGCAGTACTGTGGTAGAGATAAAGCAGCAATTCATTCCTGCCACAGGTCCATGGGGTATGACATTTGCGACTAATGTGTGCCTTCGATCTCCTGGGAACGGGGCTTAGGTTTTGTAAATGCAATGTGTAACGTGTAGTATCTGATCTGTTTCATCATCAATCATCCACTGACGCCATGATCTGTTTGACATGCCCCTTGCACAGGTTCTGCAACAGCTATCCGCGCTACTTAATTGTGCCCGCTTCGGTACCGGACCAGGACCTTGAAACTGTGGCCAGTTTTCGGTACTCTCGGAGGATCCCCACTGTTGTTTGGAGGCAAGTAAAACTGCTGTCGCTATTCATTGCGGGAATGCAAATCGAGCAAGTTGCTGCTAGTGTTACCTGCTCTTATTGAGCCTCTTTATAATGAAGCTACTTCTAACGCAAGAATAGGACCTTTGTTATGTTCCATATTTGTCATGATAGGGGAAACACCCACTCGTTTGTAGCACCAAGCTACAAGAAAATCCATACTGATTTCTCTGAAAGACAATCTTCAAAGTTTATAAAAAGTTTATGGTGCAGGGTTTAAGCACTAGACAATACCAGGATGAGATTTTTAACCTGGAACCTTTCCTTCCCGAGAAATCTGCATGAATGTTTTTGGGACCTTGGATTACTGACAAGTAGGTGTCAAATTACCTTTCCTCCGCTTTGTGAGACTCGCAGAACTGAATTGCCTGATTGCATATTCATTGTAAACATACATTCAGTGCATTGTTAACATGTATTTCAGATTTTTCACGTTTACTTGGTCCAGTTTGTATTTGATATACTGATGTATGACTATAGACTATTTTAGGGATGGGTCTGAGTGTCGCTGTATTAGGCTGTTAATCTTTGTGTTTTTCATTTTTAACAACTAAACAACTTTGTTGCGGTAGACGCACATGCACGAAAGTTGTTGGGTCGGTGCACGCAACGGTTCATGGCCTTATTCACGTCGCTGTATAGAAAAGTAAAACGGGGGCTTAACAGCCCATGGTAGCAGTGCCCATATATCTTGGGTGAAGTAGTCTACCGTCGTCCTTGCTGATAACCAGAAATAGGCACAAAAAAGTAACATAGGAATGACAAGTAGTATGGTCACAGCCATGATGTTTTTTCTCATTGTGTTTTTGATGCTGCCACGTTCAATTATTCTCATGTTTTAAAGCACCACCTCTACGTATGTCCAGAAGTTCCACCATCCACAAAAGTAAAACTTCAAAGATGACGCATACTAATTGTATGCAGAGATATAACTGCTGGGGAGCAAGAAAAAAAATTCGGCTAAAGCCACAATATCGCGAAACAGATTGGCCAAATGTGGAAATCGTAAAGAGTAGTTTTCAGTACTTATCTATCTCTTAGTTTGTTGGCGGTGCTCTCTGAAAAAAAAAAAGCATTGCTTGATTCAGAGGCACATCATTCTGCTGAAATGCAGCAATCAGTGTTTCTCTCTCTTTCTTTCTATTTTTTTCTTTTATATGAGCGCTTTATATAAGAGGCAGGATTAACTCGTAAAGGTGTGAATTGAGATGTTCAAGTATGAGTGGATTTGTTTTCTTTTTCGTATTTCTTTCTTAAATCCTTCTCTCTTTCATTAGGCACCACCTGTACGGTACAGTGATAGCACGCTCGGCGCAGCCAGAGGTTGGCTGGCTGGGTTGGCGGAGTCCTCAAGATGAGACCCTGATCCAGGCCATAGCAGATGCTTGCAGCATTGACCCAGGCCCTGCTATCTGTAACGGACTCGACAGCCTGCCCGACGACCAGAGGCTCGACTCGGATGCATCCGACTTGTCTCTACTGAATGGTGGTCTTACTGCCAGTGAGTGCTGTCATCCTCCTCACTTTATATAAACTTTGTGATTAAAGTTAACACTCGTGCTTTTTGTTTCTACTGCACAACTCTTGAAAGCGTTTTCTTAACCCCGTCGGTTTCACTGTTAATGACGGGTCATCTGAAAAGTTTTTTCCTTCTTCAGCATGTTGCACAGCCCGATGATATTGTTCATATTTGAGAGTGCAGTTAGAGTAGACAAGCTGCTACAAGTGTATCGCTGCAGAAGAATGTTCAAGCAAGCTTTGTCGTCCCTTTCAGTCTCTTTCACTGAGGGCGATACGTTTAATGTTCACCAACGTTTTGTAAGAGGCCACAGTCTTGATAAAGGGGCACAACAAGCCACATGCAGTCCCTTTGGATCGGCGCTGATTTTCTTTCTTTCAGTAGCATGTTAAATAATTTAGCTGAAGGTTGATTATTGTGAGGGAGAATGAATGTCAGACTATTTAAAGCCTCTTTGCACCAAAATCTCTTCAATGGTACCATAGAGTGGTATCCTAGAAGTATTTCTGTTATGGGGGGGGGGGGTCTCGCAAAAATTATTTGCAATTCTGATTATTATTCTTTAACACAGGAATACAATGTAGTCTTTCTTTTGCCACTAAACCATAAAGAGACTTTAACAACACATTTTAAACATTCATTACAAGCTGGTGCAGAAATATGCAGGTCGTATCGCTGCATGCATTTCGTTTTGATACCTTTGCTGTCTCATTACACCTGTTTAATAACACATATGCATAATTTGCTTCTACACCTTTACTCTAATAGGTATTTACAAGAATTTGCCAAAACCACGATAAGATTGAAAGGCCCGCCAAATTTCGACATCTGGTGTTCTTAGGATGCACTAACATCGGACAGTGCATGGGTGTCTAGCATTTCTTCCCTATCATCATGCAAATATAGTATTTCTACTGCATTCAAACCCCTTTATAAGAGACACCAGTGTGCCTACATTGAAATAGGTGTTAAGAGAATGCATGCGTGGTACCCTGCTTATAAGAGACACTTCATATAAAGAGAATTGCTCCCCAGAGCATGCCTTTTATAAAGAGGTTCAACTGTAGTGGTTTCCACAATGGCGTCCACGACTACCAAATCGAATTCTGACTGGCATGCAACCTCGCAGGCATGCACTTCGAGCCACGGCCGGCGCCACAGCGCAAGATGCTCATCCTCGATGCTCGTTCCTACACTGCCGCTGTGGCCAACCGAGCCAAAGGTGGTGGCTGCGAGTGCCCAGAGTACTACCCCAACTGCGAGGTGCAGTTCATGAGCTTAGCCAACATCCACACCATCCGCAAGAGTTTTCACGCAGTGCGTGCCCTCTGCTCCTCCACAGCTGATCAGTCTTGGTAGGTCTGCATGTTCGTTACCTGGAACATTATACATGCCCTTTGCTGGTCTCACTGATGTATGCCAGGGGTATGACATGTTTTCACCGTGCCCTAGTTTTCAAACGGTCCATGCCCTCTGCTGGTTTTGGAAGGAGCCAGACTGAATAAAACCTTCCAGACGCGATTTGTCCTGTGTAGTTTGGCGAGCCCTCGTTCCTTTTGGGGTACATGGAGCTGGCTCTTATTTCTCATTGGCTGGCACATACCCTATAGCTTTCATTGCAATCCATGTAATTGATGAGCACATGCGTAGATAAAACGAGGTGCATCCTATGACACCCTCCAAGTTGTTGCCAAATATCGGGTCGGGTGCAGTCGCTTGACCTGATGGCCAGCAGCTGCACTTGTCGATCTTGCTTTTACAGAGTTTCTTCATTCTTGGGAACTCTGTTGGCACAAGCTTTCCTTTAGCCTTTGCTCATTACTCGTGGTTGTGGCTGTGCATGGCGATTTTTCAGCTGGATGTCAACTTTGGAGTCCAGCAAGTGGCTGCACCACCTGTCGGGTTTGCTGAAAGCTGCCCTCGTCGTCGCCAATGCCGTCGACCTGGAACGGCGACCAGTGCTTGTGCATTGCTCAGACGGTTGGGATCGCACACCTCAGATTGTTGCCTTGGCCGAACTTATTTTGGACCCCTACTACCGTACCATTGAGGTGAGCAATTGAATTGTGGTACTTCGATTTGCTTGATGCAAGAAATTCAAGGGCATTGCCGCCTGTGGTCTCTCTCTCGCTCCTTATCTTGAATGTGCTAGCAGAACTGTCGTTTCAAGTGCTTAGTTGAGTTGTCGTACAGCACGGTTCACAGTGAAAGGGAACATACGAATGTGCGCCTTTCATATTGCTGGCTCCCTAACTGTAGGTGGATGTGGAAACATTGTTCATGCACGGCATTGGTTTGCAAGAGGAGTTTGAACTGTCTACTATTACTAGTCTTGTGCAAAACTAAGGCTCTAAGCTTTTGCAAGAGGGCGAAACCCGGACATGCTCTGTGTGCAAATGTTCCCGTTACATCTGCTGTCTGTGCGTCAATTTTGCATGCATTGGCCCTTCCATCTCTTCCAGGGCTTCCAAGTGCTGGTGGAGAAGGAGTGGCTCGAGTTTGGGCACAAGTTTGGAGATCGCTGTGGCAACAGTGCCACAGCTGATGATCTGGGTGAACGCTGCCCAGTGTTCCTTCAGTGGCTTGACTGTGTGCATCAGCTGCTGGCGCAATTTCCTTGTGGCTTCAAGTTCAACCAGCAGTACTTGGTGAGCAGCTCCTTCTGCATTGTTCTGTTTATCTGGCACATGCTTGGACAGTGAAAAGTGTTTGTTGCCACTTAAACATATAAAACTTGCCAGTCTTCCCTTTCCTCAATTCACAACAAAGCTCGAAAGCAACTATTTGAGCTCTAGCAATGACAGATGAGCTGTGAAATTATGCCATGGTATCAGCCACGTAGATACTTTATCCTGTCTCAATGTCCATCTTTTAGCATTTCTTTCCCGTCTTGCACATCTTCATTCCAACGTGAACTATTTATTCTTTCCCTTTTGGTAGCTTTTGCAGATAGCGTAATCTACCTCGCCCCGCAGCAGTGGTCTAGTGGCTAAGGTACTCGGCTGCTGACCAGCAGGTCGCGGGATTGAATCCTGCTGCGGCGGCTGCATTTTCCGATGGAAGCGGAAACGCTGTAGGCCCGTGTGCTCATATTTGGGTGCGCGTAAAAAAACCCCAGGTGGTCAAAATTTCCGAAGCCCTCCACTACGGCGTCTTTCATAATCATACAGTGGTTTTGGGACATTAAACCCCACATATCAATCAAATCAATCAGTGTAATCTACCTTGTTTGCTTCATGATACAGCTTTTTTTTTTTTTTCAGTCAAAATGTGCGGCACACAGGCACAGGCAAGAAAGAGTGTGACATGGCAAACCAAATTGCTTGCAGCTTTTTGCATGAAAATTCGCTGAAAACAGTTCAAGCGATAACTTGCAGGGAAAACCCAGCATTGCCAAAGATCCTGGTGCCATGCCGTTTCATTGAGGGAACATAGTGTTTCGTGGCTGCATCGATTCTCTTACTTAGAAAGCTTCCTCACTTTCTTGCAACACTACATTCGCCACTTGGTGTTCACCTATGCGCCAACTGCACACTTGCTTCAACAGGTCAGGCTAGCACAGCACACTTACTCGGGCCTGTTTGGAGATTTTCTGGGGAACAGCGCCATGGAACGGCAGCAAGAGGCAGTAGCCACTAGAACTTTCTCGGTGTGGACCTTCCTGAAGGCCAGGCCAGAACAGTACCTCAACCACCTCTACAGCCACACAGACCAGGTGCGTTTGCAAGCATTGCTCTTTCATCCTTCCATATGATTGTTCCATTTGCTACTGTCCAAATAATTGCACGGGTACGTTGGGATAACTGGACCACAGTGTTGCATGTCTTTTCAACACAATAGCTGTAACTATAGTGATGTTCATGCGTCTTGTCTTAGATAGGGAGATGCTAGTCAGTTTTATATGTCGCTACTGAATAGCTGAACACATGTCGCTATGGAATAGCAGCACATGTCTCTACGGAATAGCTGAACCTTACCAGGTTCAGCTATTCCCGTAGCGACATGTGTTGCAAATTAAGAGTGGTTATCACTTTTACACAATATAACATAATAAAGTTAAACCCCTTTATAAGAGACACTGACATAAAAGACAATAAAAGAGACTAGTGTGTCTGCATTGAAGTGAATTATAGATTCGAAGTGAATAAATTGGTATCACAAGCTTCTAAACTTAAAAAATGATAAATCGATGAGAGGGAAGAAGTTCATTTAACCTTGAAAAAGAGCTTCGCAGCACCTCGGATTTTTCTTGGGTAGGTGTTTTCATGGCTGAGCACCATTTCACTGCAGTGAAACCACTTTTACAGTTACTTATGAATTATTATATACTTCGACAAGTGCTTTCACGGCTTAACACTCCTATACTTCAGTGAAACCACCTTTACAGGGTGTACATGCACTATGCATTTATTTGTTCGAATATCCAAAGCATTCAAATATTCGCACGAGCCTAGCGCAATGGCTTGTGAATTTCGGTGTGGAAATGGCTAGTTCATTTAGAGCTTAAATACTTGGTATGCATTGTCAAGCCATTTAAGTCTTTCCTTTCAGAACATACGTTCAATTGTAGTGCAGGTGTCTGACTTTAGAATGCTGCACAACTTCTTTAATCCCGTAACTGCCATTTATTTAGGATGCCAGTTACTTTCCAATATAGAGTTAGTGGCGTATTTCTGGCACTTGAAATGAGAATTTTTCAATCGATTCTATCGACTCCAGGTACTGAGGCCTCGGTGCCAGGTGCGAGATCTGCACTTCTGGAGTGAGGTGTATCTGCAGCCGTCTACAGGACTGCTGTCGCAAGGCCCACCTTCCACACCTCCATCGGAGGCCCCAGAACCAGCAGAGGAAAATCCACCTGGACCAGTCGGCAGCAGCGACACGACATCGAACCTCGTCAAGACCAAGTCTGTGGATTCTCTGTTTGCAGGCAGTCAGTCGGAGCAATCTCCACCACCTGAAAAGCACCAGCGGCGGCTGAGCGATCCAAGCCTAAAGGGTCTGCAGTCGGAACTGCACAATGGGCACGACGAGACAGCCACGCCATTGGCTCAACGGCGCAGCCTGAGCAACGGAGCCCTGAACGGCAGCCACGAGGAAGTGCAAGCAGATACTAAAAGCTTGCCAGTTGCAGCAAATCCAGATGAACACGGTGCACAAGAGACTGAGCCACAGCAGCAGCAGCAACAAGCGGTGTCCTCCATCGAGGATTCAACCGACACGCTTGTCAGTGAAGTTGGTGAAACATGCCCCTCGGACGTGGCAGAGGCTGTGGAAGCACCAAATGAAAAGGACTGTGAAAACGATGCCGCAGAGGGGATGACATCGTCTGCTTTGTCGCGGCAGACGCACCTCCTCAGCAGCACGGCCAGCACGAGTACGACGGACATTAGCAGTTCGGCCGTGTACTTGTTCCCTGAGGTTGCAGGGGAAGACCTGCCATCTAACAAGTGCCCATACTGGCTGTCCCACAAGAATGGCGAGACCATGCTGGCTGCGGCCCGCAGCTCGCTGGCGCGGGCGGCAGCCATTAATGGCCGGGGTTCCCATTACTCTACACCCCTGCACTCCAGGCGAGTTCTTACCCATCTTACTTTGTTGTAGGATAAGCATAACCTAGTGGTTATGGCTGCTTCACGAAGCTCTGCGAACTATAGTAACGCCTTTGTCCAGCCTTGCTTTATGTTCTTCAAATGAGCAGTACGTGTCCAGTGGGTCTCATTTTTGGTGGCAAGCCCCCGTCGTAGGATACATCGTCCGACAGATCGGATGAGGCGCTCGTTCAAATGGCGAATATTTATTTACAGTGAAATCTCAATACAATGAATCTCGGGAGACCGCTAAAAATAATTCGTTATTTTGAAAAGTCGTAGTGAAAGCATTAAAAATTTGTGTAAAAATCGTGAACACAACAAGCACGTGAGTCTCCTACCTGTGCTGTGTATACATTCGCGACCGCGTTATGCTCTATTAAGCGAGAAAGAACAAACGCTGAATATTACGAAACCTGTGCACGTTTATTTGAAAAATAGCGCAATGTATCCTGATGAGGGAAACTCGACTACTGAAGTACGAACTCTTATCCTTCTTTCGCAGTATCAGCGTTAAACTTTGGTTCTTAACGTTGCTTCACGCGCGCTGTTTCAATGTCGTCTTCACACTCGTCGCCGTTTCCTTATCCCAACAAGTGGTATGGATTATATTGGTCGTCAACTACTCTCGCATGCATGCTTCGTCGCACCGTGCGTAGCGAGTGTTAGTGAAGCATGCACAAGTAATTGTCGGTGACTTCATCCCATAGGTCACTCGCATAGCATTCCTTTCGTGCTGCTTCCGGAGCTATCTTGAACATTCAACCAAAAGGCTAGAAAACAGCAGTGTAAAAAGCGCGCAGGTAGAGCTGCCCGACGAAAACAATCGTAATGGTGCGATGCTCGACGCAAAAACAAGTACCAGGCGATGACAATAGGGCTGTTACACATTTGAATAGGGCAAGCCAATGGAGAAATACGCCGACGTTCTGATGATGATCGTGGCAGGCACGGAGCTGGGCATTATTCTTACAGCCGTAACTATTATAATCGCTATTCGTTATATTGAAGTGTTGTGGAGATATGAGGAGGATAATATTCACTACGTTATTCTGGAACATTCGGTATTCTAAAATTCATAGTAGTGAAATATATTTTCTACATTAAGGGGGGACGTAGCTTTCAAAAACAGAAAAATCGCGAAAAAGTCTATTTTTGTTAACCCACATATTTCGGTAGTATGTGTCATAAACTACCTCTGGTGTAAATATCAGTGCCTAATTCACCCTATAAGTGCTTTAAAAAATGATTTGCAAACTGCGAGAAATCGCCGAAAATGTTCAAACTTCGCGCGCGCTGCTTCTCTGCTTGTTACTTGAGTGCCGCCATCTTGGTTTTGTTTTGTTTGTAAATTCTTGCTCTTTTTTTTTTTGCCATTAGTGCTGGGCTTGGCGGCGTGGTCGAGGCATAACTCGCTTGCGATTGGAGAGCTCACTGGGTGTTCAAAAGCCTCGCTTCTCAAATGCGGTGCTACAATTGGATGGAATGCGCGCTCCTCGAGGATGAGGGGAAGCAAGTGGCTGCTATTGGCTGCTGCGGGCGCGCACATGTTTGGCTCGCAACCATGCCGCCGGCTACTACGCGTCTCCTTAGACTTCTTCATTGCAAACATTCTCCGCGTGCTTCTTCGTCTCTCGTGCTTTTTTTTGCGATCAGTCTCGGCACTCTTTTTCAAGGCGTCTTTACGAGACAATAATCGTTTGACGCGGCCTGCGGATCGTTGCGCGATTGACGAGTTCTGCGTGTTCTGCCGAACACACGCCTGACGCGGCTTTCCGTGTGAGGAGGCCGTTCGGAGGAATGGTGCGTGTTCTGTTGCAATGGATCGCACCTTCGAGAAAAAACGCAAGACTCGGCTCGCTTAGGGAAGGCAAAAGGGCTATACACCTAATCCTCGACGATCGCTGACACCCCCACCAAGTCGTCCGTCGATTGCCGAAAGTGATGCTACTTTGGATTCTCCGTCAAGCGATGTGGTGAACAACGCAGAGGAGAAGCTATGCCAGTGCGTGTCAAGCTCGGAAGGCGACGACGTTGATGCCATACATTGACGTGAGGCCGCACACTCTCCTAACGAGGATCTCGCTATTTAGCGTGATGGTGAAGTGTTCCGGCAGATGATGAGATGTTTGACGTGCAGCTCGCTGGGCAGATTGTGCCCAGCGAGCGCCGTACTATTCAGGGACACATTCAACCCAGTTTTGTGTCACCGGAAACAGCAGCTCAGTAGACCAGCATTCAAGTCGTTCAGCGCGATGTCCGCTACTGAGCGAAAGTTTGCACTGACTGCGCCGCCGGAACACGCAACTACGCCGACGCCACAGGAAGAATAATACGTGATGATGCAGACTGCGTCCTAAACACGACTGCGTCCTAAACACGAGACTGCGTGAGATGCGTCCTAAACACGATTATTGGGAATACCCTCTGCCCTGTTTGTCATGAGCAAAGTTTGGTTGTGGATCGGGACACAAGGCATGGACTTGCCATGAAAATGGTGGTCACATGTCGCTCTTGTGGCTCAGCCAACACCCATTGGACTTGGCCAAGACAACCAGGTGGTTGAGTTTTCGACGTGAATGTACGGTCTCTGCAGGCAATAAGGTGCATCGGTAAAGGGCCTACTGCTCTAAATGACTTCTGGGCAGTGAGGAATGCTTCTTGCAGAGGGCTGCACCAGAAGACCTATCAACGCCTCTTGAAAAAGGTATTGAAGCCAGCTGCTGAAGAAGCTGCAGAAAGTTTTCGCAGATGCTGAAGAGGCTGTGAAGAAGACTTAACGGGAAATGGAAGTAAACTTCACTAAAGACATTACTGTTGTCTGTGATGGCACATGGCTAACACGCGGACACAACTCTCGCATTGGTGTAGGCTGCGTGATAGAATTTTATACTGGACTTGTGCTTGACTGCACAGTCCTGCCAAACTTCTGCCTCGGATGCTCGCTAGGTCCAGCCAAAAACGATCCTGCACATCAAGAGTGGAGGAAGACGCATGCTTGTCAAAAAATCGCAGACGTGGTTGCGGGACGCATGGAGGTGGAAACGGCACTGCAGCCTTTTGGACACTCCCTCAGTAAAAATGATCTCCGTTACACGAATATCATTTGTGACGATGACAGTCGCACCTGCGTGGCCCTGTGCAATTAATTGTATGGGTTTGTACCTCTCATGAAGGACTGCGTGAACCATGTTCAAAAGAGGCTGACAAGAGAACTGAGTGCCACGCCCATCAAGTCTAAGAAGGGAAAGGCGCCCAGCGCAAGAGGTGGCCTGACGCAGGACTTGACTAAAAGGCTCACCAGCTATAGTGGCATAGCACTGGGAAGCAACACGGACGTCGAATAAGTGAAGAAAGCAGTGATGGCCACCTTTCATCATGTTTCATCGACAGATGCATAACAACCTCATCACGAGCTCTGTCCTTTCGGTGCCCGCAGCTGGTGCAGGCACCGTGTAGCAGAAACGGAGCAGAAGCCACAACCTCCACACAAGTATAACCTGCCCACCAAAGTTGTTGAAGCATTGCAGCCAGTGTACCAACGCCTGTCCGACCCTCAACTGCTGGCTCGCTGCAGTGGCAACAAGGCACAAAATTCCGCTGAAAGCCTTCACTCGATCATTTTGTCACTAATTTCTAAGCAGCAGCATGCCTCCCTCTTTCCCGTGGAAGTAGCAGTCCATGAGGCAGTTGCTAGGTACAACGCAGGCAACTTTCAAGCTTACGCCAAGATTTGTGCTGCAATGGGTGTGCAACCTGGGACCCTTACCCTCCACAGGGCTGCTGAAAAAGATGCTCAGCGAGTAAGGAAGTCATAAGAAATGCATGAAGTAAAAGGGCAGAGATCCAAAAGGTTTCCTCTATACAAGGACACCAAGGACTACAGTACTGGTGCATTTTGACAAATGCAAACGACTTCAAAAACCTTGATAGCCGTTTTCTCTTAAGTGTGTTTTGGACATTGTGCATTGCTCGTGGACGTGGAAAGAGTAGCGCGGGAATGACTAGACAGATTTTGATTGTTTTTTTTTTTTTAACTGAATCCCTGAACACTGCTTGTGGGTACAGCAATCTTCAGTTTGTTTTATGGCCCAGTTTTTTTTCTGGATGATTATTTGTCCATGCCACTCTGTTTCTGACATAGTGTGTCGGCAGCCATGATGATTTCTAAAAAAAAAAGAGAGCTTATTAAAGAATTCTGAGAGTGCCATACCCTGTAGCTTTCTTTTGAGTAAAGATCAACACCATTCGCAGTTTCCTGGCATGTTTTGTTACAGCGCTAGGCTTTCCACGAGCAGACCATATAATTGGACCATGTAGCACGATGTAACTTGAGAACTACTGAAGGTATCATGATAAAACTGCATATTTCTCTATACGAGACACTTATGAGTATGCATGCCAAATTTGTATGCATGCCACCTCCCCACTAAAGCAATGGACATTTGAAGGGAGATTTTCGAAATAGTCGTTACCATGAAAAAATCGTTATCTGAGGTTCACTGATGATATTTGAAGATTGACTGGACATGGTTAGAAACTTGGAAGTGGGCATAAAGTGATCAAGTAAGAGCTGGTTGAAGAACTGAAATCGTACAAAATGTCTTCTCCTTATATAACGTCAGGTTGCCAACCCTGGGCACATTTCCCACATCTTCCGCCAATACGGCGCTTGATGGTCTCGGGGCTACATCCACGAAGGCGGGGAAGGACGCTACACAGTGGACGAGTTTAAACAATGCCCTATTATGGTCACGAGTGCACAACACCAAGGTTCCTCGCACGACGCCAAGATTTTGCACATGTTTGATCCTAGCTGATATAGGTCCCATGAACTGTCCTGTCAAGGGGTTAAAGCTCAAAGAGAGGTGGGGAAGAGGTCATCATCCTCGGAAGGACTGGCTCTCTGGGACACGTGCCAAACTTGCCTGTCTGCGTACGGGTTGAAGAATGTAGCGGCCTGACAGGTTTATCTTCCAACATTCCACCCCATGCAGGGATACTATGGAGAGAGGAAGAATGAGGAGTGGTCGACTATAACTCCTAGCAAACGACGAGGGATTACTCTTTCACATCTGCAAATTTCCGTGACATCGCTTGACTTTGCTCTCAAGGTGCAGTCGCAGCCAGATTAGTCTTGGCTGCCCCCCCAAACAGCAAATACCACTGTGGCTTCGACAATGGCCCCGTCGCTTCGTCGCCTGCTCGAAATGCCTTTGCACCTTCTATAGAGTCGAGGTCGCAATGACTTTTCCTGTCTCGTTGGTTGTCTTCACGCCAAACCGGACCGTTGGCATCCTTGTTCCGCCTAACCGGTCCGCTGACAGAGAGGTATTCAACCCGTCTTGACTGCACACCCTTGCCTGAAATGCGCTGTTACGAAGTGCGCCTCCGGCGACGTTACGAAGGGCGCCACGAATCTCGCCGCTGACACCACTGTTATGAAAGACGGCGACGCCAACACGGCCCGAATGCGCCGCTGCTCCGATCTTTGCCGACACTGTCACCAGCCGTTTGGTAGCGTAGGTTTCTCGGCTCGCGATTTCTTCTGCGCAAAGCTGATAGACGAGCGGACGAGACGACGGTGAGTTGAACAAGGTTTATGTATAGCATAGATACAGAGGCGTTACAAATTCGGCATTGGGGCCGACAGTTTAAAGACTCGAAGAGCGGAGCTCTCTTCTGACACAAGTCTACTGCTCGCGACGCGCCGCAGGGTTTCTCTTATATGCACTGGGAGGATTCTTTGAGTAACTAAATGTCCAACCAGAAGCGCCGCTGGCCGTGGAATCCTCCAATCAGATTGGAATCCTCTAATCGGGTCGCCGCTGGGCCGAGTCATTCTCATCGAATCCGGAGCCGCTGCGCGTGGTTGCAGCCAAGGATGAGTGACGTCGCCACGCATTGCACAAGACTCGCCAGACAGGAAGGCGCCGCCGCGTGACGCCGCCGTTGAGTTGTTCGCGTCAGGCGTGCTCGCGTGCTGGCCTTGACACAGATTGCCTTTTTCAGAGGAATGGACGTTCGGTGTAGACTCGCAGGCATAACAGCGCCGAGAACTCTTCGTTAGGTTCACAGCCTACACAAGAATTTCAATGCTGATGACTGTCATAACACATTTTGATTCAGGTTTCACGGGACCGGAAAAAATGTCGAAATTAACCTATTGGGAATTTATTGATAGTATCAAGAAAACAAAGTGCAACTGTCAATTACATCAGTGCACTTTAATTTCTTTGATGAATATGAGAATCGCATATCTTTTCTTATTTTGCATAAGAGCCGCATAAAGGGGTATGGGTTTTGATCATCTTGGGACTTTGTTCATATTATTACTGCTTTCCATGACTCCCGAGCCACAATTGACTGAAAACATGCATTGTACCTCTCCCTTATAACTTGTCCCCAACACCACCATGAGCACACGCGAGTATTTTCCACGGGTAATACGGCTGGCAACTGACCATTCGTCCATCATGATGTACAGCTAGCGTGTTCTATGCCAGCAAATGGACTTTGGCAAAAAGCGGTTGACTATCAACAGCTTCTATCATGTCAGTGTTATGTGGTACAGCGAGGGCATTACACCAATTCAGAGTGAAGCTACTGAGTGCCGCCTCCCTGGAAGAAAAAAAAATTGTTGTCACTATAAGAACACAATTATTGGCAATGTCCACGCAGTTCTGTCACCGGCAATGTCACTGTTTTCCAGAGCCACTGTTCGTGTTACCGCAGTCGCTATCAACATGATCGTAGATAGTGCCCACGCAGATCAATGGTACAGAGTATTAACAAAAACGACAAAAATGCGCTATTGAGGCCTTGGTCGCAAATAATGCAGTCCTGGATGGCAACCATGCCTTTTTGAAGGCCTACAGTCAATGCTGTGGCTGCTGACCGAAATGGAGTGTTAACAGACTCTGTTATACTAACTTTATGGTTTTGATTCGTTCTGATGACAATGGTGATGCGGACTACACAGCCTTGTTTTAGTTGTCTGTGAATACCTTTTTTCATTTCTTTTTTACTTTTTGTGTTGCACATTCGCGGTGCTTCGCTCTGTTGCTCCGAGGGTTATTCACATTGACCGGTTCGCATCCAAATATGACCGAATTGACGAGAACTTGATGCCATTAAACAACACACTTGCTGGCCAGGACGAATAAAATGCATCCAAATCGTTTACTTTTTTTAATTAACAAAAGTCAAATTAACAAGCTTTTACTGTAGTAGCATTCAAGTTATGTAAATGATGTCACTGTAAAGAATTACACCCCTATTTTTGTATCCAGAACTCCCAGTTCCGGCTATCCAGCCACTCCCTGTGATGACAGGCTCCTGCTAGATCCTGTGGCATCCAGAACAACTGCAGCACCCCTGCAGCAACAGCAGCAGTTTGATGTGGACGGATTGGCATGTCCTGTCGACGCTGTCCAGCAAAGGTTGCATCAAATGGTTCTAGAAAACGAGGTCAGGACTTTGATTATGTTGCTTTTTTTCCGATAGCACTAGTTTCTCTTTGAATAATTGTTGCTTTGCTCAGCACACCAATCCGTGTTGCACTTGTCTTCTGTGGAGTCCGCAAGCTCTGCTCGTCTTAGAGACACTGAAGTGAAACAATGACTTATTTTAAACTGATAAACTGCATTCTATGTGTTCTTTAATGCTTTCCTTTTTTTAAAGGAAAAAAGTGCAGTAACAGTTAGCAGTTGATTTCCCCCTGCCAGGAAGTGCTAATTACATATCTGACTGCTCATACATATAGATCTGTGCATATCTGCCGTTCTTTTTTTTTTTTCTACTGTCTCCTTTGTGTGCTTAGAGAGAAGTCGTGCTGATTTGCTTTTTTCTTTGTTGCAGGCGAAAATAGAAAGTCTAGAAAACGAACTTCGCAGGGTCAGGCACGCGCTAGAGCGCTCTCTACTCGTCAACGGCAAAGACGCGTTGGAGTCTCTAGAAGATGCTGTGAGTTTTTGCTGCAACTTGATAGTCGAGGCATGATTTTATGGCATGAATGGTGTGTGCATGCATTATCGTAATGCTGCAAGTATTGCTTCAAAAGCTTAGCATACTGTATTAGCGTCCAGGCTTCTCATAGGTAGCTCTAACAAAGCTAACAATTTCTCTCATTTTAGCTTATGTTGAACCAACGCCTCCTCTATTTAGATGCGTGCCGCTTGTGAAGGAAAACAGCTGCCACACCCCTTCCCTCCTTCATTTTAGAATGTTGTCGGTCGCTAGCGTCACCTGTGGCGGAGGGTGCAACAACGCAACACTTTGCATAGCCTCCGAAATAGTGGTCTACAGTTGCAGGTCTCGAACAAGTCTCGACTGACGCGCCCCTATTGGCCGCAGATGAAAAACGCTTAGCTGGTATAGTCCACCGTCGTGATGATAGTGTCGGTCGCGAGTGCCACCGCGCGGCGCTTGCTCAAAACTGAAGGCAAGCCAACTCCGCTGGGAGCGCGAGCCATTCCTCGGGCATCTTTCTAGAGGAGGCGTGTAAAACTTGTGTATGTGAAAAGAGAGCACAAGTTCTTTGACAGTTCTTGGCTGTCTGCAACTTGCATGCAGATAAAATTTTCGTGTGTGTGTATAAAAATAAATGCATGCTCTGTATGATGCTGCTAAATGTTAGTACTGTCAGCTTAAGCACTATGGTGGTGGCATTTATACACTAGATGTGGAAAGCTCTCGGGACCAGGAAAGTGGCTCCATGCCATCGATCTTCTATTCGTGATGTTTTCATCAAACGCGAGAACTCTTTGTATCTTGTACATGGACCTTGTCTTTCACTGGCATCTAACTAGGTACCACAGACCATTTCAATGGTTACACTCTGCCAGACACCCTTGCTTGCTTTGTGCTGGATTCCTGGAGAGGGTGGAGGCCACACCCGCATAAGTAACATTACTCAAGATGTCGCCTGTTGGGGAAAACTCAATAAAGCTGGGTAGACTGCATTCCTTTTCAGGTCAATGTGCAGCCAAATTATCTCTGTGGTGGACTCCAAATTATCGACACGAACGGAACGTGCTGCAATGTAGCCATTGGTATCTCATTTCCACGGCGGCAGCATTGGCTTCTTGTTGCTTTTATGTTGTTCGACTCACTCTGTGCACGGCAAAACTGAGCCTTGGTCACCTTGAAACACTGATGGTCTAAAGGGCCCCTGCAACACTTTTTGATCATGTTAAGAAAACGATGCCGATTAATAGTTGATATTGACACTCACCTAGGATCGAGCACACCCCTGCTGTTTACGTTTTTTTTTTTTTTTTCATCGCAAGCTTTGATCCATCTCTCCCTTCTTCCCATTTTTCGAAATGCCAGAAATATGTGTAACAAAACTACGATATATACAAATTCATGTGAGCTCCTTTGCACATACAGTTTTAAAATATTTAATAATGTGCACTCAAACTTCATTCAAATTAAATTGCATCTGATGCGAGCATAACTTCGTTATATCTGAAAATTTATCATTAACGTGTGTTCGTATTGCTGTAGCTATGGCAAGACTAGTCTTCATTTATTTATTTATTACAGATAATTCTTTATGCCCGGTGTCATCATACTGTGAAATCTCAATACAACAAATCTCAAGGAAGCGTTAAACATCATTCGTCATTTTGAAAAGTCGTTTCAGTGAAAGTATTAAAATTTTGTTCAAAAATCGTAAACGCAAACATGCGAGTTGCATACCTGTGCTGTGTAAACATTCGCGACCGCATTATGCTCTAATTAGCGAAAAAAAAAGTGAAGTATTACGGAACCAGTGCATGTTTATTTGAAGAAGAGCGCGATCTAACCTGATGTGGGTGGCTTGACTGCTGAAATACGAACTCTTAAGCGTGCGCATCCTTTTATGCACTGCTGAGCGTCATCTTTAAGTGCCGATTCTTCACGTTTGTGCACACACGCTGTTTCAAGGTCGTCTGCGCTCTCATCGCTGTTTCCTTATCATGACAAATGGTGCGAATCGTATCAGTTGGCAGCTGTGCTCGCGCGCATGCTTTGTTGTCGCACTGTGCATAGTAGTGTTTGAGCGTTAATGAAGCGTGCAGTAATCATCAGCGACTTCATCCTATAGGTCACTCGCATCAGATTTTTCACTTTTTTAGCATTCTTTTCGTGCTGTATCCGGAGCTCATCTTGAATGTTCAACTACCAACCAAAATTCTAAAAAACAAGCACGCAGGTAAAGCTGCCCGACGAAAACAATCAACAGGGCGAAGCCCGACGGGAAAAACAAGGACCAGGCGATGATGATGGCGACAGCCCTATCGCCATTTGAATAGGGCAGGCATACAGAGAAATACGTGGGCTTTTTAATGATCATGATAGTGGAAGGTACAGAGGTGGGCATTATTTTTCGAGTCTTTTAATATCCCTATTCGTTATTGTGAAGTGTTGTAGAGATATAAGGGGGGTAAAATTCTATACATTATTCTGAAACATTTTGTGTTCTGGAATTCGTAGTAGTGAAATATTTTTACACTGAACCAATAGACATGGGAGATTCGTGGATTGTGTCGGCAAATTTTAACATTCCATATTCTCTAGAAGGGAATCAATGGATACTGCAAATTGCAGCATGACACTCGCACATGCCCCGTGCTGTGGAGCCGGGTCAGCAATGGGCCGTCCTCTTGCAAAAAAACTCCACTCTTCATGTGGTGTCCAGCAAGCAGGGCCGAAACGCAGCTGATAAAATTTTTTACCTTTGGAACATCCCAGATATTTTCAGATAAGCATGAGATGGCAGTGAAACGATGAGACGAGGAAAACAAAACATGTGGAGTTTCCAGATCGGTTAGACGCAGTTTTCTTATTCGTGCTACTAAAACCCGGCAAGCCGAAGTTGTGTCATCATCGGAAATGTCGGTCATGTCATCATTCTCGGCCGTCTTCAATGTCGAAAATTTTGCGCATGAATGCACGGGCACCAGCTGAACTGTGCCAGTCTCGGCATGCTGCACGTCAGCAGGTGTCAATAAAATTTCGGCATGGCGTCAAAGGCAAACACCTGGTGGGAAAATGCTACAAGCAAGTAAAGTAAACTTCAATACAGAAATGGGAAACATTCATTTGAAATCGCCTATGCCGGGCTAACGACAGGGATAGGCACAGACAGGAAGACTTGACTCAACAGAGCAATGCCAAAGTGGTTCAAATTGGCAGTGTGTGCTATTTGAACTGCTCTTGTGTATGTGATGTTGTGCGAATGTTTGTGTGGCGAGCGAGAGACTGACCCTGTAACGGGGATGTGCCCTACAGCCGCTTGGGTTGGACTGCAGCGGGGATCCTCCGTGGGGCGGGTGCCAGGACGGTAGCAGCTCGTCGGAGTTGAGCTGGGAGCAGGTGGACGAACGCGATGCCCGCGCCACACTCTGGGTGCCAGACCACGCGGCCTCACACTGCAGGGGCTGCAATGCCGAGTTTTGGATTGGGCGACGTAAGCACCACTGCAGGCAAGTCTTCATTGCTGACCAACCTGCCTTGGTGGTCTAGTGGTTTTGCTGCTTGGCTGTTGACACAAAGGTCGCGTGATTGAATCCTGGTCATGTTGGCCACATTCAAATGGACACTAAATGCTAGAGGCCCATGTCCTTATATTTAGGACTAAAGAACTCCAGGTGGTCGAAATTTTCATAGCTCTTCACTACGGCACCTCCCGTAAACCTGTTGTGGTTTTCGTACATAAAATTTCTACAAATATTATTTTTTGCTAGCTTTGTCCTTGCCTGCAGAAAGAATAACTGTCCTTGCTGTATGTATACATGCAGTTACTGTATTATAGGCTTTGTGGGCCATGTACACGGCAGTTATGCAAATTCATGGAAATGTCCCAGTGTGTCTCCCTATATGCACTTAATAACCTCAAGTCTATGAATTAGCCAGTCGAACAAAACTAAACAAGCAGCATTATTTGTTCCTCCAAATGGGGACATTGATGTCGTGCCATAGGTGCCGTGCTAGACGCCACAGCTCCTGCTTTGCTTGCCAGAAACAAGCTCAGTCTGTCAGCTCTCTTAGAGTTGCTTTTGAGCTTAAAGGGTCTTTGTTTAAACCTTCGGAAAGCTTTGCAATATTGCTTTCTGTGCATCCCGTGATACCGGTTGGCCAGTGCCATATAAATGCCAAAAACTGCATTGCATGTGGGCAGTGTCGAGCCAATAACTGTGCTTTTACTTGGCAGATTCGAAAATTATTGCAGCAAAATCATGATTATGCTTTCAAAAGTGTTGCAGGGCCCCTTTAACTAGGGGTGAACAAATTTAATCTCAGATTGGATTCGAATCTAATAGTGCTGGACAGTTAACAAAAATATTGAATATGAAATCCGATATTTAATGCTGAGGCATGCTTGCACTTTGAGATGCTGAGCGTGATGGAAGACCTATGATTAGCAGCCGAGAGGTGGGGGAGCATATGTTGCCTCTTTGGCGCAGGCATGCTTAGTTACTTTTTTCACAATAGCCAAGATGGACAGGAGAATGACTCTTTGTTGCTCACAGAACCAATGCTTACTTGCCACAAGCAAATCGGATGGCAAGGCATCATGTGAAAGCAAAAGTGCTCAGGGAGCACTGTTTGATTACTTGCCACAGGACCAAACCTAAATGTCCCTGGTAGGCTTTCTACGGAGTGCCAAGGATCTCTGAAGCAAGTCCTGGCAATTAAAAGGGGCCCTGGAACACTTTTTGAACATGGTAAATAAGCCTGCCTAGTCGCTACAGCGTACTCGCATGAATAACGGAGCCTGATGTTACTACTGCTGCAACTGCTCCTGCACACATTGCAGGAAGGTCCTACGGCCTTACCAGAAGGCGTCCCCAATTTCATTCAACCCTGTTGGGATTCGTGCTTACACTCTAAAAACAGTTGCATTTTCTTTAGGGTGCCTTTTGTCACTCAACAATAATAGTCCATGTTGTGCCCCTTTCCTTTGCAAGTGACTGGTACTTTCAGGTCGGGGATCTATTGGGCAATGTTGGCGTGACTGAGCATTCTGGATATGAGTAGCAAAATCGTAGTTCTCAAGAAAGTTAATGCAAGCAGCTAAATTATGATAGTTGTGGGACAAAGAGTATGTCCCATTGTGTGCTGCGACATTGTAGTGACAATGCAGGGTCAGACGTGATGGGTATTGGCCAGATTTCTTTACAATTGTTTTCATAAACTGGCATTTTTAGCAAGGTCAAGAAATGTAAGAAATATTGGCAGTTAAAGGAAGAAGTGTGATCTGCCGATGGGCAATGCCACTTGTTTGCCATCAGGGGCCTTTTGTAGTAACCGATGCAATGCATGGTTTCCTACTTTAAATTACCAAAGCTAACTCTGGCACTTCATTTTAAATTTTATGGTAACAAGTTTGTCCTACCTTCGTGTCTTTCGCTTTAGATATCCTTGTTGCTGTATTTACAGCAGACGCTCGTTGAACGAGACTTGAAAGGACCAAGAAAATATGTTCCATTTAATGGGAGTTCTGTTTACACTTACGAAAACAATTATACGATTTCTGTTTACCAAGAGAATAATGCACTATGCTTCAGCTTCTTTCATTAGCGTGAATTTCACGTTGTTCACATTTCGATTAAAGGGACCCACAAACGATTTTTCTCGACCTATTTTTTTTTACGATGCTACAGAAAGCTCACCCGTTGTAGTGTTTCTGGCAGCAGTTCCCAGAAGCATATAGTTATTTTACAAGCAGTATTTTTCATTCTGAAAGGCTTTGAACACGGATGTACCTTTCCTCCACCAACGCTGAAAATTGATAGGTACGCCGCCAGCCTTGTCACGAACTGTAAAAGCTGTTGTCGTTCTGTTTTAGTGGGAGTTTCTTTAACTAAGCTTAACCACCTTTATTTTGAGCTTTACAGCTATTTTTGAAAATAACAAGCTACTATAAAGTCTCCAGCACCTCGGAGGACCATGTAGTTTATTTAGCAATTGTGAAAGACATAGATCATAGTAGATGCTGTCAAAAGCAACGATATTGTGGCGATTAGTGAGGGAACTTGAAGGTGGCATTGCCACTGGCATTTTTTTTTTGTGTGTGTTCGCGCAGTTAGCATTGAGATTTTGCTATTATCAAAGAATAACTTGCTAGTACAAGAAAAGTCATTTTTTTTCTCCAGTATCTCTCTAAACATTCACACACCAAGAACAAGTTCAAGCCGTGGCTGCCTCAGTTCTTGCGTAAAAGAAGCTGCACTCTTGCTTTTAATTTACATACTTTGCATAGTGCTTGCCAAACTTTTTTAAAGACTGCTGTGTCGCAAGAGTTTGAACGAAACGTTCAAGTCATCGCTCTCTGGTGCCATGCGTCGGTGCCGTGTTGCAGGAACTGCGGCCATGTGTTTTGCAACCCCTGCGCGAGCCAGCTGCACCCTGTTCCTCATGAGCAGCTGTACCAGCCGGTTCGTGTGTGTGGCACGTGTTTCGAGACACTGCGCAGCCGCCCCTGCCGCCCGTCCGCCCTGGTCCCCGCAAGCTCCCACAACGAGCGGCTACTGGCCAAGGCACAGATAGCCGCGGCCTCCACATAAGACAGAACGACGAGTGCGCGTGCATGCCCGCACGTATCGTGCGAGCCAGCTCTTTGTGCGTGGATGGCATTCACATCTGCCCGCCCTCACCATCCCACCCTGCGTTTCATCATTCTTGTTCGCCCGCGATGCAACATGCGAGACGCTTGCAAATACAAGTGCGGGAAGAGGAAGGTGCACCAGTGTGTCTAGTTTTTTCCGTGATGGGAGTGGGAACGAAGGTGGCAACAGGTTCGTTTGCTGGAAGGCAAGAAGTGAAGGGAGGGTGCCGGCACGCAAAGCTCATCCAAAGACGTTTGTACAAAACGTTAACGCATTACTGCGGGGGCACCTGAAGCTTGTACCACGCGCACAGATGCCCATGCTAGTCGCTGATTAATCGGAAACTTGAAACCCCCGTCGAGAGCTTTCAACACATGCTTCAGAAAAAAAAAAACAATGTAGGCGACATATATAGGGGTCGAGTATTAACCTTCAGGGTTTCTCTTTTTTTTCCCTCCCAGCAGTTCTCCTTTATGTTAAGGAGGCATACATCTCAGGTTGTCATTCTGTACAGCTGCTGTATCACTTTCAAAACATTGTGTTTTGCTCCTATCACTTACCCACTCTTGTGATCTTGCATCTTAAAAGCGAGGATGAGGTGGCTTGCTTTCTAGGAAAGATGTGCTTGTCGAGTGGTGTTATGCTTCAACATAGCGTATGTTTACTTGTGTTTTGGAAAATAAAGAACATAAAATGAAAGTAAAATATGAATAAATCTTCATTGTTTCGGCTGCCGTGAACCTATATTTCCTATTAGAGCAGTCCTACTGGACAAGCCAATGACACCACAGGGCATTAGATTGTAATCTGTGGTCTGTCTTGACACCCGAAATCTGCGCTTCATTCAACACAAACTTTCCACGGCGAACTTGGAGCTTTTTCGTTCCCAACTCCCATTGCATGCAGACTGTGTTAGAAAAATGTGCCAAAAAGTGCAGAGGGGCATTATGTAGTCTCCTGCACCTGAAGTGCTTTGTTTTTCTAACATGGCTGGGCTGACAGTGTTTTGTTTTGTTGTTTTTTGTTTTCTCGACTTTGCTGCCTTTATTCTGCCATGGCGATATGCAACAGTTTCTTGTCATGGTGCACACCACTGTTGGTTGCATAATGTGGAGAGTGCATTAGGAGAGTAGACATATTAAAGTGACATACTTGAGAGGATAAACACTTTTTATCTTTGTTTTTAATGGCACCTGCTCCACTAACTGTCTCTAATGGTAAATGTCATTCTTTGTGCTAGTGGTTACATTGAGGCACCCCTGCTGAGCATCTGCAATTCAACTGCCGTTGTTTGAATCTTGAGTATGTTTGGTGGGTTGCTGTGTGTCTTGGGAACAGATACTGCATTCGTGTGATACATCTACCCTGCGTTCACTGGCATCTGGAGGTACGAATATGATGGTCGGATGTGGTTCACTCAAGAGGCTCTGCATTCAGTAATGACGCCAGAACTTCACGGTAATTTGTTCATATGAGTTCACTGCCAGCCGAGAGTACTGGGCTTTGTGGGAAGCAACCAGCTGCACTGGCGTTCAGATTAGCTGTTCGCATTCACTTTGTTCAAAAACTTGCATTGAGTAGGTTATGGCGTTAGGCTATCTGCTCTCGCCCCTTTGAGTATTTGAAGCAACAGATTGCCGTTCCGCAACTGCCAGGATTGTTATAAAATGTTAGCCATAACAAAAGTGTTCTGCTCAAAGTCCTGCTCTTGATTGTTGAACATTGCAGTTTGTACTGTGTATCTGCATTTTATTTTATTGCCCAATAGTAGCCACTCCTATTTCCTCAATTCCTTTTATCAGACCTTCATTGTAGAATACTCTGTCTTGTGAATCTTCAGTTTAGGGAATCATCAAACAGGATTGGCAATAAAATTTATTCGGTGGATCTTTTTTTTTTCTCGTCAAATTTAAAGCCTAGTACTATATGAGAATGCCCCATTAACTCACTAGCTTTTTTCTGATCAAATGTATCGTGCCACCAATGTTGTGAATATTTCTTGGTAATTGTCTCTACCGCTATTCTGAAAGGGACAATATGTATCTTATGCACTTTTATTTCTCTTTTTTTTTTATTAAAGACCTAAAAATAAGCCCCTTCTATTATATTGTGTGTACAGAAATGGCCACTGGTTGCATGTGTGTTGTAAGCACTGCACCTCTGCCTTAGCTTTCTTTTTGTTCTAATTTGTTTGTGTCCATAATAGCCACAATGTAACATAGATTTTTTTTTTTTTAAACACGATGTTTGCTCTCTGTAAGCTTTCAAGTCAGCAGCTGCAGAGAACTTTTTGTTATTTATCGCAAATCGCATTGTGCTTATTTCAAGCCAATTTTTAAAATGTCGGCAGTGTAATAAAGGGCTTAGTAACCATTTGGCGATTCACATCATGATTTCTTTAGCTCATGCCAAACTGTATGAGCTTCAGAAGATATGCATTCTTTTTCTTCTTCTTGATGCGAGTTACTGCTCTCACGTCTTATCTGAAATGCTGGCCTCACCCTATTTCAAGTCTGTCTAGATAACCAGTGAAAAATTTCAACAAAGTGATAAGGGAGCCAAGATTTGTACTCTTGTTTCTAAAAATTTTAAAAGGTGCTCCAAACTGCTCTATTTTATAGCACTAGGCACGTTTGGTACAGTTAGTGATATATTAAACTAACATATCACTGGTCTTTTATTGGTATTATTATTATTGTTATCAATATTACTTTTAGAAGTTCACAAATGCAGGTGCCACACTTTGTCAAATGTTTATTTGACAACAGAACAGTGAAGCAGAGCAGTGAAAAGAGATAAAGATGTTATGCTTATGATGTGGGCAACTTTGAAGCCCGCAGTCTAGTTTATGATAGAGAGTCCATTCAAATAGCTGGAGGCTGTGATCTGCAGATGAATGTGTCTCTTCTTGAACAGAATGTGTTTCAATCCTACAACATATTTTTTGTCCAGTCACAGTTCAAATCTGTTTTAAGGGATTGTTGCAAGCACGAGTACATGATTCAGTCTTTGAGTGTTATCTGGGAAAATCTGAGTATATCAGATTGTTTTTTTCTTTGCAGTGTATTTGCTTACTATAATTTTTTTCTTTGTCTTTTTTAAGGGTTCTTTCTTCTTTTGTAAGCATTTCCAAGACAGCAATTGCGTTCATTGTGTTGTTCCTAGGGAATCTGTTTTTCTGTGTACAGGACGTGAAAGTTTTTGAAGGAAAGGATTGTCAATACATTTGCCTAGAAGTGTACATTTGACTGCGTTTTCAATGTAACATTCTAGAAAGGGGCAAGCACATAATAAAAGTTTTGAATCTGTTTGTCTATGATGTTCCTGTATCACTTCCCCTGCATGTGAACCTGATCAACAGCATACATGCAGAGAGGGCCAAAGCATGGATTGTTTTTTTTGTGTTCTTTATTGGTACTAATCCACTTTGAACTCTTGTTAGTCTCAACCTTAAAAATATGCAAAAAAGAGAAGTGAATTCCCAATGTAACTTGCTTCCACAATGCTGGAAGACCTCTTAAGCTTTTTCACCTTTCTTGACTAGTGTTAGCTAGTGTTCCTCGCATGTGGCAAGATTTACGGTCATTCTAGTTAACCGTTCTACTGCATTGTGAGCTTCAAAAGTATAAAATGCCATCAAGTTAACTACCAGGTCACCAACATTGCCAACTAATTAAGAATTCCGTAATTTCATTGTCATGTCCCTTTGCTTAAAAGTATCGCTGTAGCCACATCTTACTCTAGCATATCTACAATGCAATTGGCAAAGGGTGCAGTGGATGTTCTGTTGGCAATGTTCGAATGCAGAGCAATGCACCGTAGGAATTTCGCAACACTGATGTGCCAGTACTGCGAGCGTCTTTCCTTAGTGGTTAATGAGATGAGTTTGCATCATCCAGTACCCACAAAACAATACTTAAATTTATGTTAACATGTATTGCCCATTTCACTTGGACAGGCGGCACGGGGTGTAGCCAGAATTTGTTTTCGGAAGGGGCGGAGGAGGGGCGGTATTCAACAACCCTTTATGTATGTTCTTGCACACATTTGTATGTATATAGACAAATGCAAATTGAGAATTTTGGGGGATGTGGCCGAACCCCACCCCTTGGCTACACCAATGCATGTTGCGAACACAGCTGCTGAGCAGGAGTGTTGATGCCTACAACGGTAGAAGAACACTTCCCTATCTCTGGCAGAGTTTGCCGCTCTAAGCATTGCAGTGTGTCCACTTAATTACACCACTCTTGAAGCTGGCCAAGTGGACCTAATATCGGGACAACACGACGACACGAATCCATCGCATGCATGCTTATACCATTGCCGTTACAAGACAAAAATGAACTAGTGCTCCTGGCTAGTGTTGTGGCTGAAGCAATATTGGGGACCAACAGCATCGATGAAAAACATGCTTTGGCCATGTCCCAAGTACCAAAACTGATTGGTAGAAACTATTGGGGCACTCCAACATGCGCCACATTTTTCTACAAGGTTTGGACTATGTGACCGTCTATTGACATTTGCCATAGGCACACCATTGTTGATCGCAATAGGCACAAAAAAAGTGTTCTATAACAAATATAGAATCTTTTTCTTCATTACAGGTGTACATTACAGGTGTAGGTCCGACTTTGCCGTACCACTCTAGCACAAACCATTCGTCCTAGTGAAACCCAAATTTTGCAGCAGATCACATATACTTGGTGGTATCAATCACAAATGGGGGTGAGACATTCTGCATGTGTAGGGTTCTCCAACAAGAGGGAACCAAGCTTCACTGCAACACACCTGGCCCCATTCTATTTGGTTGATTGATATGTGGGGTTTAACATCCCAAAACACCTTATTTGGTTGAGTCACAGTGTAGTCCATAAGAGAGGTTCCGTAATGGATGCAAAAGTGATAATGCAGCGCTGACGTAATAATGATCGATGATATAAGGTGTATTACGGTGCAAGGGCCATTTTATGGCCAAAGAGCACATGTTCATGGGACGCAAGATGTGAACTATGGTTCTGGTGAGTGACTGTATAAGGGCCTAAAAAGTTTACACGCCAAGGCGCGTAAAACACAAGAGTATCCTAATCACGATAGAGGTGTGAAATGTTTGTAGCGGAGATGAATGGCGAGTAATTGTGTTGATTAAACTATGGTGGACAAGTGCTGCTTCAATAATGATGTGCTTTTCAAAAAGACCTGCCTCACGCTGTTCCTGGGGGATATGTCCATGAGATTCAATGAACGCCTGCAATTGACAAATGTTTTCAGGTGCAATTATGAACTTCCTTTAGTGACGGCCCAAACAACAGAGCGGTGCCACTGATAGCATTGCTGGTATGAAACTGAAACTATGTGCGTGTTCTCGCTTGTTATCACCACCGTATGTACTATCGGTACCAAATGAAACGCGAACAGCGGAGCGCGTGGCACAACAAGCCTTATCAATGGCATAGTGCGCGCCGTCCACCAGTAATTGGCACAGACAGGCCCGCACATTCGGTGTGGCAGCACTGCACAATCCCCCTATAGAACAATATTGCACTATAGGGGGATCGTATTTAGGATCGTATTAGGTATGGTATTTGAAAGGAACAAAATAAAAAAATACAGAGGTTAAACTACTGCAGCCGAAGGCGAGTATTGTAGCATGGTTTGTCATCACGGAGTCAATCATCACGGAATGCCTGGCAAATTCCATCTATAGTAGACAAAGGTAAGTTTATAATGGTGGCGATTTCACGCTGTTTCACCTCGTGCCGGTAAAGCAAAACAATTTGCGCGCTCTTTTCCGAAGAAACACTCGGCGTTTCCAGCTAAAATGAAGCCCTTTCGGGTCGTTCTCAGCCCCGCCGCGGTGGTCTAGTGGCTAAGGTACTCGGCTACTGACCCGCAGGTCACGGGATCTAATCCACGCTGCGGCGGCTGCATTTCCGATGGAGGCGGAAATGTCGTAGGCCCGTGTGCTCAGATTGGTCGAAATTTCCGGAGCCCCACTCAGCGTCTCTCATAATCATATGGTGCTTTTGGGACGTTAAACCGCACAAATCAATCAATGAATCGATCGGGTCGTTCTCTGAAAGAAGGGTGCAGGTGAAGCAGCGCTGGTGAACGAGATACGACAATTGTTTGAAGATCAACCGCAAACCGATTACATTTCTCTTTTTGTTTTATCGTGCCAAGACACCGATTGCGCTGCGACCCTGACGGAACGACGACAAAGGGACAAGAAGGAGACGCTAGTAAAAGCAAGGAATTGCGAGTGATACGATCAAAAGTGCTTGGCACGCCCACGATTTTCACCATTGTCGCGATACGAAAACTAGAGCAGAAACGGTGATAACGCACTCTAGGTGGATCGCGCAGGGCTGCCAAACCGGATGTGCACGCCTGTCAATGGTGATGACTCGACGGCCAACTCTATATACTGTTTCTAAGCTTGAAACAGGCGCTCTGCTGTTCGGGTTTCATTTGACGCCGATAGTACGGCGGTGATAACAAGCGAGAACCGGCACATAACGCCGCATGTGCATTTCACTTAGCGCGAGCCTTTCTGCGGCATCTACAAGTATGTAGATAAAGCTCGCGAATCGTCGCGGTGTCTCATCGAGGACGAGGCAGTGTACGCGCCGCAGACCACGTCGTTCGAAGCGCGGTCGAGGCTGTCGATCAGCAGAGACCGCATCACCGTCGCGGCTCTCGTCCTACAACAAGCGCACTTGTGAAAACCGCCACACAACATCTCCATCGTGAGCGACTGCAGTGAAGGGGCATGCTGTTCGTGCAAATGCAGGGTATATGATCTATACGTGTAACGTAGCATAGCATGGCAAAGGCGTACAATTAAGCCGGTTTTTTTGTCTGCACTGCCGCCCCGCCGCGGTGGCCTAGTGGCTAAGGTACTCGGCTGCTAACCCGCAGGTCGCGGGGTCGAATCCCGGCTGCGGCGGATGCATCCGCCGATGGATGCGGAAATGTTGTAGGCTTGTGTGCTCAGATTTGGGTGCACGTTAAAGAACCCCTGGTGGTCAAAATTTCCGGAGCCCTCCGCGACGGCGTCTCTCATAATCATATGGCGGCTTTAGGACGTTAAACCCCCCATATCAATCAATTGTCTGCACTGCCTCAGGTGGAAACCTTTTGAGAATGTGCACTAAACAGCGGCAGCAGGTTTCGCTTATGAATTTACCATAAGCAGTCCACTAGGCACGCGCTTGTGAGTAAAATACGCAAATACAGCCGTTGTCTCAGAAAATTCTATGCCGCGCTCACCAGCTTCGTCAGATCGTCAAATGGGCCTTCGTGGCAAGTTTTGGAACGACACCACACCTGGTGTAGGGCTTAAGTACTGGCGAGACACTCAAACCGGTTACAACCTAACCGAAGAGTGGCGCGCACGGTGGCTAGCAGTCGTCATGCGTCACGTCAAGCGGTCGATGAGCACGTGGGGCATTTTCCCTTTCAAAGCTTGGCTATTCCCGTTTTCTTCAGCTTCAGGTGCTTCGGATAGTTGTGAAAGCCAATGCTCTTTTCACGAGCGGACGAAGAACACTGAGGCACAAAACAGTACTCCGCCATTGCGTAGCACTCGCCATGCACGAAGACATTCGGCCGCAGTTTTAAGAAACAATGAGCTCCGCTTCTAAAATGAACGCCAAAAGCGGGGACTCACGGTTGTTCGAACAGCGTCAGTAGCCACCATAAACAACATAACCAAATGAACACCTTCTTCGTGGAGTTTTACCTTGACGGCGGTTTCTACACGGTGCCGGGCATACGCAGCAGACGAAAGCGCCGGAATCCCCGTTTCGACGGCGTGCTTGACAACCGTATGCTGGAGAACGCGCGAGAGAGAAGGGAGACGCCCGTGTCGTCTGCTACGGCGCTCATTGGCTCGCGCGCGTTCTCCAGCTTACCTTTTTCCTTCCTCCGTGAGCTTACGGTTGTCAAGCACGCGTTTCGACGTCATGCAGACGGATTTCGCAGCGCCATCATCGGTCGCACACCAGGTGATAAATGAAAGCTATTCGAAAAAAATGCCTGCGGTGACTTCTGATAGACAGATAGATGAATGGCTGCGAAACTTTATTGGAAGTCCTGAGGTGCACGAATGAACGCACAGCGGGCCGTTCCCACGTTGGGGACGGCACGTTCCCTACATACAAGGACTTGGCCACCACGCTTTCTTCCGAAATGATTTGTATTTAGTCGCTCGTTCACTGGTAAAGATTATGTGACCTATACACCTATACAACCCACTTGTTGATGTACTGTGGGGGTCGGCCAAGAATGAGTAGTTGAAAATTTGAGAGGTTAT